CGCGGTACGATCGATTCAGGTGTGCAAAAGGTCAAGGATACCGTTAGCAGCCCTAAGGATGGCGAAAAGAAGTAAATCAGACATCTGATATACCTACATTCAGTTCCGAACAATCTCTGATTCTGGTGTAACAACATAGTGTAACACATTTCTAAAATCATTCATCAGGGTATCATGCAGTTTTTACTAGATTATTACGGCCACGGCTACAGCGATGCTACAGCAGGTGTAGGTATGGTATATTTCTTAGATTTGATTTGTGATATGGGCATCAACAATACTGCAAATGGTCTACCATACCAGTATGCCAAATTGATGAGTTCTGGTATGGGCGCAAAAGCTTATACTAGTCCGCTGATTTGCTGCACTGGTCCCTCCGGACGAAAATGATGTTATTCAAGACGCCATACAGTAGGGTCGTTTTATCTGCATTCGATCACTACAGTATGCTGTATTGCTTCTTTGCAGTCGTGAGTCAGCCCAAGTCCCGCTTGAGCTTTGTGTCTTGAGGTTTGTGTTCTGACGTTCTGACACAAAGAATAAGGCGTATGAATCGATAAACCATCTCGTGTAAATGGAAATTTATCTCACAATTCCAAATTATTGGACACTTCAAGACGCTACAGTAACCAAAAACCAAACCATCTCTGACACATCACAACGCAAAACAAAATCACAATGAATCTCTTTTATGTTATCGCCATTTCAATTTTCCTTTTTGTTCGCTTGGGCGAAGGAATCGAAATCTTGGCTCCTAACGATGAAAACCCTGGAAGTATGCTCGATGATGCTATTGACAATGCCAAGACAGGAATGAACAATGCGCGCGAGAAGGTCGCCGGCGCCGCTAAGGATATGAAGGAAGCAGTCTACAGCAATACTGAAAAGATGGGTGACAACGCCAAGACAGGAATGAACAATGCGCGCGAGAAGGTCACCGGCGCCGCTGAGGATATGAAAGAAGCAGTCAACAGCAAATCTGAAAAGATGGCTGACAATTCTAAGACAGGAATGAATAATGCGCGCGAGAAGGTCATCGAAGCCGCTGGGGATATGAAGGAAGCCGTTAGCAGCAACACTGGAGAGATCTTTGACTCGTTACCCAAGTCTGCTGAGGAAGCGGGATCGCAAGCTGGTGATGCGATCGATTCGGGTGTGCAATACGTTAAGGATGCCACCAAGGAGAGGAGTACTTCTGAAAAGATTCGTGAATCTGCGAAGGAAACCGGATCAACACTTGGCAATATGATGGATTCGGGTGTGCAAAAGGTTAAGGACACCATCAGTGGGCCTGGTGAAAGTGAAACGAAGTAAATCAAATATCTGACAAACTTTGAGACTTGGAATCATCTTACAATGTGAATAACACTATGTATTTATCACGCTCAAATAATAACACCATATATATATACTTATATATATCACACTCAAATGCGTACTCTTAGAAAGTGTAACACCACACGTGTAAAACTTCCACATCATTTATCAGGGCACTTCGATGCAGGAGTAGTTTATTGGAGTATAGCAACAGCTTGTAGACTTCGCAAACTCATTCATGCATCTACCATCGAAACTTTAGTGACGTAAAATGCGATGCATTCAGCATCCTCAAATAGCAGAAGCTGATGCTGACAAGGCCGTGCGGCGGCTATGCGGGCACATGGATGACTTCTGGTAATGGAGCAACGATTCGCTGGATTTGCTGAGCAGATGACTGTAGATCAGACGAGAAGTCATCGAGTCCTGTGCTGATTTTATTGTAATCACTACTGCTCTGTAACATCGTATCAAGGAGTAGGTACACCAACTCTTCAATCAAGTCGTGAATAATATAGTATCTTTTTTCTTCTTCGACTGATGCCTGCTATAAAACAGCACATCGTTTCTGGCCTTGACATACTATATACACAGTATATATAGGTGTGTATTTTTTAAAACAGAACATCCGCCAGTCACGGCGAAATGGAAGGTGGAGAAATGGTGAAAACACCAACTTTCGACCTTAGCCCATTTTAAATATATGACCATTTTCATCATAACAACCAATCAGATGTCTTCTTATGACCCTTTGGGCCCACTGTATAGGGCCAATTGCTTGGTATGCACCTAGGTTCGATCAGTGGCACAAGAATAGGCTATTATGGTAGCACTTGGATGCTTAAAAGTGACTTTTGTGCCATTTTGTTTGGTCTTATTAGAGGACGGCAATGAGTATTGGTGAGCTACAAACCTGCGGCTAGCTCAAAAGTGTCCTATTGGTGATATATATGGGCTGTGGGGACTTTCACACAAGGCTAGAGGAGCATGCCAACTCGAACAGAGGCAACTTCGTTTGGGAGCAACAAAATACAATTTCATGCCATTTTTGTGTTGTCTTATTGAAGGACGACTATCATGGCAACAAGATAGGTGACGATGATCTCTTATGCTCGTATAGATACTATCAAAGCAAATAGATTTGTGTTCATAGGTGGAAACAATACATGAGGTCAGATTTGCATCACAGGAGAGTTTGGCCTCAGAGTTCAAGAAAAAGTCACAATGCAGATGCATCCTGATACCTTCCATGCATTTATCTATTAGAGGACAAACTTATAATCGTTGATAACTATCATTCCACTTGCAGTACTAGATGGAGGTGTTTTCAACATTGCATTGAAAATACACCGCATCTGTTCGAGTTGGCATGCCCCTCTAGCCTAGTGTGAAAGTCCCCACAGCCCATATATATCACCAATAGGACACTTTTGAGCTAGCCGCAGGTTTGTAGCTCACCAATATTCATTGCCGTCCTCTAATAAGACCAAACAAAATGGCACAAACAAAGTCACTTTTTAGCATCTAAGTGCTACCAATAGCCTATTCTGGTGCCACTGATCGAGCCTAGGTACATACCAAGCAATTGACCCTATACAGTGGGCCCAAAGGGTCATAGGAAGACGTCTGATTGATTGTTATGATGAAAATGGCCATGCATAAAAAATGGGCTAAAGTCGAAAGTTGGTTTTTTCACGTGACTCGTCTTTCCGTGACTGGCGGATGTTCTGTTTTAAAAAACACGACTTCGAAGGTGTGCACACTTTTTATAAACTGGGTCACGGCGATACTTCTTTTACACTCGAGTTTTAAGATTTTGTTTCTGACACGAAGAACACGGCGTATGAATCTATCAATCGTTCGTGGTTTCTCATCAGCCAATATTTCAGAATCTCTCACAATTCCAAAGTTGGATATTACAAAACACTGCAGTAAACAGAAATCAAGTCAATCTCTCACACATCACAAAACAAAACAAAACATAACAAACCCAATGAATCTCTTTTACGTTATCGCTACTTCAATTTTCCTTTTCGCTCGTTCCAGCGAAGGATTTGCAGTCTTAAGTTGTCAAGCGTCGAAGCCATCATCGTCGCAACTATACGATAAATCACCTGGAAATCAGATCGATGATGCAATTGACACTGCCAAGACAGAAACGAAAAATGTACGTGAAAAGGTATCCGAGTCTGCAGAGGAAGCTGGATCGCAAGTTGGTGGTGCGGTCGATTCGGGTGCTGAGAAGGTTAAGGATGCCAGCAGCGAGGCGGAGAGTGCCACTTCACAGGTTGTCGACACGGTCAGTTCTGGTGCATCAAAAGTGAAGGACACGGTCAAGTCGGGTGCATCAAAAGTAAAGGACACGGTCAAGTCGGGTGCATCAAAAGTAAAGGACACAGTCAGTTCCGGTGCACACAAAGTTGCCGACACGGCCAGTTCCGGTGCACACAAAGTCGCCGACAAGGTCAGTTCGGGTGCTGAAAAGGTCAAGGATACCTTCAAAAGCGATTAAAAGAAGAGAGTCAAGCGCCTCACAAATACTCGCATTCGAATAATCTCTGATTATGTGATAACGTAAAGTAATAACGTTAACACATTTTTCAAAGTCATTTATCAGATTATGGTTCTCTCCTTTACTAGCGTACTGCGTCCTCTCATCAGATGGTAGCGTCTAATGCTACGGTATAATAATATATGATGAGTCTTCCAAAATGCTGACAAGTGACGCTACGGCAAATAGACGACGGAATATATCGGCGTAAGAGTAACTGCACTTGCTGAGCAGTTCTGTGCTGATTGACTTTTTCTGCTTCACTAGCGTACTGCGTCCTCTCATCAGATGGTAGCGTCTAATGCTACGGTATAATAATATATGATGAGTCTTCCCAAATGCTGACAAGTGACGCTATGGCAAATATACGACTGAATATATCGGCGTAAGAGTAGCTGCACTTGCTGAGCAGTTCTGTGCTGATTGACTTTTAACGTGGGGCTTCATCTGGTGCATCTGGTGCAGTCGAGCAAGTATCAGGGTACTCTTTCAATCCGGTCGTAAGTCAGTCTAGAGCCACTTCAGCTTCGTATCTGAGATTTTTTTCTGACACAGTATTTGTACCACTAGGTGTGTACATATAGGAATGAATCTGCAGAGCAAGCTGGATCGCAGGTCACCACCACCGAGTTCTGTGTTGATTTTTTCATTCATGACGGCATTGGGTTTCATCGATTGCAATCAATATCGACTAATTATCTACCCTTTTTCCCCTTTAAATCTAGTTATTAAAACGATTGCGTCAGCGTCAAATGATGCCATGAGCACCTTGATAGCAGACGATGGCAAATGTACGTATAGGCACAAAGACAAACTGGATTTGTTGACTAGATTACTCATTACCATTGGCCAAAATGCCTTCGAGTCCCTTTGGTGATTACAGTGTTGTTCAGGACAACATCACCATGGGCTTTCATCTCCTCGGATATCGCATGACTAAATTACGTACACGTACACGTACGATACACGTATAGGTACACGTACAGGTGCAGCACTTATTTTTTTTAAAAATTAATAAAATCAAGTCGTGAACCTACGCATTCGGCATTCGTGTCTGAGAAATTGAGAACAAGGGCGCATGAATCTGGAAATCATCTATCTCTTTGTCATCTACAGTAACTTACGAAGTCTCTCTCATAATTCCAAATTACTGGATATAACAAAGCACTGCAGCAAAAAGTAAACTCGAAAGAAAAGAAAAGAAATCATGGCTCCCAACGACAAAACCCCTGGAAGTAAACTCGACAGTGCTCTCAACAATGCCACGACAAAAATGAACAATGTGCATGAGAAAGTCACCGAAGCCACTGAGGAGCATAAGGAAGCAGCCAAAAACAATGCGGAAAAGGTTGGCAATGCGTTACCTGACTCTACCAAGGAAGCTGGATCAAAACTTGGTGGCATGGTCGATTCTGGTGTGCAAAAAGCAAAGGATGCCCTAAGCGACAACAATGAAAAGGAGTAAATCAAGCACCTTGCGTTCATTCAGATTCGAATAATGTTTGGTAGCGGTATATATAACAACGTAAAAGACTTTTGAACATCCCCCTTTCGATACAGCCGCAGTGACGCTGGGACTGTTTCGTATCTTTTATTGCCCATCGAGACATTGAAAATATTATAGATGTTTATTTTTATTTTAAAATTTCCAGGTGGCCACACTTCATTTATTTTAAAATATAGAACTTGGTCACGGCGATACTTCTTATACGCTCGAGCTTCAAGATTTTGTTTCTGACACGAAGAACCGGGCGTATTCGTCTTTCATCGCGTAATACACATTTACCGGTAGTCCTATCTATTTTTTTTTAAAATGCGTATAGTACCGAATAATACCATGACTTCGAAGGTGTAGAAACTGGGTCACGGCGATACTTCTTTTACTCAGGCGTATTCGTCCTTGTAATCCACGTAACTAAATAGAGAGTAACCCATTTCTAAAATCATTTTGGTGTGAGTTCGATACAAACGACAAACGGTATCAGGTGTTAAACAAGAACAACGCTATGGCAGTAGTACCAACACAGCGCCGTCAAAAGATGAACAATGAACATCCCATGATATCAGATGTTGGCAAAGCGCAGCTATGGCATGTTGATGAGTTGTACTGTACGTGTGAAGACAAAAAGTGGATTTGCTTGCTATCCGAAGAAAAGGCATTGGTTCCTGTACTGATTAATTGCTCACGACTTGCTTGTAATGGTAGATAATTCAGGTGGTAGTGATTTGAAAGAGGCGAAGCCCATGGCATTCTGAATTAATCAGTGACTATCGGTTTCTATCCAGAAAATCCGTTCATCCTTTGAGCCCATACAAAAAACTCATCAATTTGCCACAGCGGGTCTTTACCATTATCAGCTATTTTAGGATAGTGTTCCCCTTTTGACGCTGATGTCGTCGCTGTGTTCGTATTGCTGCCATAGTCCTAATATTGTTATGATGATGTTGCACCTAATATTGTTCTTGTTAAAGTGAGCAATGCAAAGTATGAAACCCCAGTGACACTGCGGTTCTGGGCTAGAAAAACACTGCATGGTACTCTGATAAAAATGACTCGAGAAAACTATTTCTCTATATAGTATGCAGGTCCTAGATATTATACGCAATCAAAGACTATTCGAATCTGAATGTTGGTCAGATAGTTGATTTACTTCTTTTCATTGTTGCCGCTGATGGCATCCTTTGCTTGTTGCACACCAGAATCGATTGCACCACCAAGTTGTGATCCAGCATCCTTCGCAGAGTTGGGTAACGAATCACTAACCTTTTCTGCGTTGCTTTTCGCTGCTTCCGTCTGTTCTTCAGTTGCTTCGTTGACCTTCTCACGCACATTTTCCATTTCTGTCTTGGCATTGTCGATAGCTGCCTCTGAATCCTTGATAACCTTCTCGCGCACATTGTTTATTTCTGTCTTGGCATTTTCGAGATTTGCTCTTGCATTGTCGATGAATTCATCGAGATTATCTCCAGCTGTTTTGTCTTGGTTTGGGTCTTGGTTATTAGGAGCCATGATTTCGTTTAATTTTTGCTGTATTGTTTTGTATTATCCAGTGATTTGGAATTGTGAGACGAGATGCTTTGCAAGAATGTTGGATGACACGAGGGGATTCATACGCCCTTCATTATGTTCCTTCGTGTCAAGAACAAAAGGCTCGCAGACACGAAGGTCAAGCGGGACTCAAACTTGACTCACGATTTGATGATTGAAGAAGTCAAACATTATGCATGGGGCAAGGTACCGGTACTGGTACGTATTGGTTATTCGTTTTTATCCTTCTGGCTTGGGAAGCGTGGCGATTGGTGTGGAGCAAGGTACTGGTACGTATTGGTCATTCGTTTTTATCCTTCTGGCTTGGGAAGCCTGGCGATTGGTGCTAGTAAGGCTGTTTCCATGCGAACCGAATTTCGAAAACCGAAAAGATGCCAAATCCAGCCAGAGATTTTCGGTTTTGGAAAATCAGATGGGTAAAAAACACGTTTCCACGCAAAAACGAAATTCGGCATACGGATTCTACCCGCCTCAGCCAATCAGAAACTGACATTTTTCAACCACTTTCATTGGTCTAGAACAGACATGAAATATTTTACCGCACAAAAGTTTTAATCTAAACGAAGGCTACAAATTTAACGCGTGAGAAAGGCTATTCATATTTATAGTTAGGCCAAAGTCAAAATACATTAGTTTTATGTCGTGCTATTTCTATTTCCATAATAAAAATTCGGATGTCAATTCTTGCTCTTCTACTCCTACTCTTTTCTTCCCTGTATTCACCACTTCTATTCCAATCATTGTCGACTTGATCAAAGTAGCTGTAGGGAATGCCAAACCTTCGTCGAAACCTTTTAGCACGAGTGCTGTCTTTGTCCCAAACTGAATCAATAGCTGCAATAGCATCTTCGTTTCTATGCTGATGGTGGTCGTCGGAATTCCTGTTGTAGAAATTGTAAAATGGAGAGTTGTAGACATCCTTTTTGACTCTTGGCGCTCTTGGGCCCCGTCCCCTCATGTCCACTGATGATACTGACGAAACCGAAAACCGAGAAACGAAAAAGACCCAAAACACTCGGTTTTCGGTTCGCGTGGAAACAGCCTAACATTGAAACAAAGTACCGTAAACAATACGGCATTGAATTTTGGTTTCGGCATTAACCACTGGGTCTACTTATTTATGTGCCCCATAAAAGTAGTTGCAGACGGGTCTTCGCTGTCATTTTGGTCCAACAAGACAATTATATTTGAATTATTTGCATAGTATCACTATGAGAAAGATAGGTGCCAGGAGTAATTTCAACGCTTGATTGGCATTTACGGAGACACCACTGTCCTGAGAACATTGCACTGGTCCCCCATCGGATGGCATCGAGGTGCTGTCGCATGGAGAACCGCCACAACCGGTTTCATTACAACTCGTTGCATCGGCATTACAACCTTCTCCCACACAAGAGACTGATGTTTCTGTTCCATCTAGGCAACAGCTGCCACCGAGACAACTGACAGTTTCTGCTCCAGCAGTGTTGCACGATCCCCTAACACAGTCTGCTTCACCACGAGCATTTGTCTGAGTACAGCTACCACCCGTGCACATGGGCGAAACCGAATTGCTCTGATCGCACTTTCCACCTGTGCAAACAGGATTTTCCGCGCCCACTTGAGAACAATCCCCACCAGTACACACAGGGCCATTTGTGGCACCGTCTTGATTGCAGTGGCCGGCAATACAAGTTGGTCCCGTTGCGTTGACTTGAGAACAATATCCGAAACAGCAGTCTGGGTTCATTGTACCGTCTTGATTGCACTAAAGAATATTCAGAATGATGAGAAATTTTTGGACAGAGTTGTACGACGGGATGATCATGTATGAGACCCTGAGCGATGACACAACCACCCACTTCTGAAACTAGCTAAGAACTTACTCCACCTGCATCACATCTTGCCGCAATGGTGCAATTTGACTGATCACAGCCCTGACCAATGGATCCAATGCAAGTGCATCCGTTGTCGGTGCTGGGTTTAACGAAGAATCGAAGAGGATGAGTTCAATGGAACAAAGAACGAATCAATCAATCATCACCTGTTCGGTGTAACAGAATCCGACTTGTTGGGAAAACGGAGAGTATTCAGCATTTTAACTACAGTACGCTCACCATCCAGTGCAATCAGCCTTTGCGGGATTTCCAAGACCTATTACCAGGAAGGTCACGAGCGATAGGATGGTCATAAACCGTGTCATCATGAATTTGTTGAAGATCGTTTCAGGTTATTGGGCCAGTTCAATTTTTTTTTTATGTCGTGGATCGATAATGTCCAATCCCAAGATCCAAGCTGAATCATTCGAGTCGAGTCAGTCTTGGATTTCTTCGGAACCTTGAAATGAAGACTTCCAATCTGGCTCTTGCGTTTGTATTGTGTAGATACAGTATTGTACCGGCACGTGGCCAATTCTTTTTCAAGTCTAGTAACGGGTACTTTCAAGTTGGTGTTCTGAACTGCACTTGGTCTCAGGTACCGTTACCACTGTACCTGTACCGGCACGTGGCCAATTCTTTTTCAAGTCTAGTAACGGGTACTTTCAAGTTGGTGTTCTGAACTGCACTTGGTCTCAGGTACCGTTACCACTGTACTGGTACATTATATGTGGAATGTTACGAAAGTAACATAAATACGGTACCGTTGCTCAAAATACATATGAATTTCGAGTCATCTGTGTCAAACGCACCAATACTTATGCCTTTTTGGCAGTATTTTTGACGGTACCGTTGCTCGCTTTGTAACATGCCACGCAACATTTTCAAACAGAAATGTTACTCGTTGCCATAAATATTCGTGTCGTACCATAAGTAATTTTCAGGCAGGATATCCATCGCTCAAACAAAAAAGTTACTTTTCGCCTTAAATATTCTAGTAACTTTCTGACAGTATATTCCATCACAAGACAGTATTATTATCCACAAAACAAAAATTACACTTTCTCGATCCTTCGTCTTTGAGAGATGCAGGGTCAAACAACTGCAGAAGAACAAGCAAATATGGACAGTGGCGTCGTGATGGAGGAAGCAGCCGCCAATAACGACCATTCCGGCGCTGGAAGGAGGCGCTTTGCACCACCAGAAGACTAGGCTACTTGGCATTGGTATGCCATCAGAAAATCCACAGTGCCGCCCATACATTGCTGCCTGATATACAACAACCAACCAAAAAAGGAGGGGCGACCAGTTGACGATTGATGAGGCTATTATTATAGACGGTGATGGGGGCGCTGGTGCTGGTGGAGGCGTGGTGGTAGAGAACTCAACTTAGGAGACTTGTTCCAAAGCATCCAGATAAGTATCCAGCAACTGCAACAACAATTTAGTAACGTTGCTCCTCGATCTCATACAAATGTTTCAGATTTGAGAGCCTACATCCGGCATCGTGATCGAATTCTAAACAACAACATTCGTGCTTTTGGCGAAACAATTGAAGGTGGCTTGCGAATCCAACTCCAACAAGCAAATACTGGCCGCAGACTACTACTCTACCACTTCCAGCAAGCGGAGCAAATGAAGATGTTAGTCCCATCGTAGTTGCGAACATGGCTATTCTATCGGGCAATCCCAGGTCGTTAAACGAACTCTGGCGGGAGTATCAGCATGGGATTGCTGGTCGGAAGCCTGCACGTTTTTTCACGGCTAGAGAACGAAAATCTTCCAGTCAAATCTAGTATAACAGTTGCATTAGTTTTATGAATATGGTTTACATAGTATGCTGTAACAGCTGCTTGATTGCTTGCTCTTATGTAGAGATATTGTAGAAGGAAAGTTCACTGGTATTTTGTCTTGTTCGATTTTCCTCTTTGATGTGTTTCCAGTTTGTTCGGTTTGGGTGAGCATTTTGATTGGCTGGAAATGTGCAGCTGGCTAGAAAGGTGCGACATGAGTACATAGTGTACCATGTTATACGAGTAACATAATGCGTACACATAGATCGACGGTATTACCACAGAAGTCATGCCCAGCAGGACCAGATCTTTGCTGACTTTACCGGAATCCGGAATTCACCTTCTTTCTCTCTGACGATTAATTGAGAAATGCCGAGAAGATGACACGACCGCTGACAGCACCTCCTCGAAATATTCAATATTGTAGCCAATGCAATTTCGAACGAGAAGTACCAGTACACGTGTACCTGGTACTGTAGTTTCCATCCCCCTCCGACGCGAGCAACTCGTCCCCCAGAGTACTATGCACAAAGAATTATAGAGAACCGCATTTGTTGATCCGCACAAACTACAAAGATGCTGTGTCAAGCATTTCGAAGACTGACTTTTTGGATTGTATTTGTTTGCGAAATCATTTGACCTATACAGTATGTCGTTAGATTTCCCTATTGGCCTCAAAAGTCATTTCTGCTGCAATTGAGAACTCTGGACTGGAACACACCTTCAATTGTCATTAACACTGAAAATCATTGAAAATCGTCGGTCGTTGTGCTCTTTCTTTATGGCGGCAAGCTGGAATCTGTCACTTTTCCTTCCAAGCAAACAAGCATGTCATTTGGGGGGCTTTCAACAGCACAAAGAGGTCACTGTTTTACCGTCGCTCAAAGATCTTGGTTAGCGTGCATAGTTTTCGTGAGTGCGAGGCGTTGTGCCATGTGGATTTTTCGAGGTTCAAGTCCTACAAGGCACGAATAGGCGATTCTGTCTTTGCTGTTTGCAAGCAATTGAAGATCGTGCTTCTTTCCAAGACGAATCATCTCAGATCAACCGACGCTTCTGCATTTAAAGTCCATATTCACTCTCCGCCAACTATAAACTATATCCTCAAACGTGATTTCGCTTTGTGCTCGAAACGTTAGAGCATTGAAGAACCAAAGACTACCTACATCTTGCATCGACGAAGAGGCGTTTTTGGAGTGTTCCAGTTTGAGATATGTCAACCTTCCCGAGCGTCTGAAGATGATCTTCAATGACTTGTTTTGCAGGTGCAAAAGTCTCCGTGATGTGAACGTGCCTTTTACTGTGACAAAGATTGGTTCCCGCACCTTTGCCAGCTTGCCGATGCCGGAGCGATTTGGAATTGCCGTGTGGTCGTTTGAACATAGACTCCACTGCTTTCTCAGGATCAGCACCATGTTCCATTTATGTCCCGATCACGCACGGTTAAAGTCATTGGCGAACGTGCGTTCATCGGCGTTCATCGGTTGTGGTGAACTGTTTACTGTGGTGCTTTTCTTTCACCAAAAGTAAGAATCATCAGCGAAGGGCTGTTTCAAGGTTGCGTTAAGTTAAATGAAAGCAACATTCCAGCTTCCTATTATGGAAATTGGAAACATTGCCTTGGGTGAATGTGAATCGCTCGAGAGTTTGGACTTTTCCTTATGCAACCTATCAAGAATCGAAGAATCTGCCTTTGCTTGGTGTGATGTGATGAACCCCAAGTACCAATCTGACCGTGAATGAGGCACGGACCTTTAATAAATGGGGAGCTCCTTGAAACATCTTTGGATTTTACCAACGGTCAAATGCATCAAAGAAGAGGCCTTCAAATGGTGCATTTCACTCATTTCGCTTGAGTTGCCGGAAGGACTCGAAGCTACTCGTCTACTTCTGCTGCACCGAGTCTGTTACTTTCAGAGTTTTCATACTCAAGAAGACTACTTTGACAGTATCAAGAGCATCTTGAAGATCGATCCACTGGCTTGTGATAGAGTGCACGCCTTTGGAATGACCCCGATTCATCTTCTCTCGCTAGGTCAAGTGCGGGCTCAATTTTGTTCTGGAACATGTAATGCCCTTTCTTGATGAAATAGTGCTTATTCGGTGTGATACAGGTACTGTCAACGATGATTCTATGATACTGTCCATTCGTGGAAAAGGCGGCCTTTTCTCTGCGACTATTTTTTTCTAAACACATGACTGTAACGAGTTCCGCATGTTCCCGCTTTGATCGATTGTTTCAACAATGCAAAGGCAATCATTTTCAGTTTCCCACCCTAGCTTCATTAGAAACCAAATTCAGTTTTCCGTTCCTCGAATGCACCACAATAGAGACTCAGATACCTTTGACGAAATGCATCACACTACAGCAAAGACTCGTCAGCAAAAGAAATCCTTCTGGTCACCTACCAACATTGCTTTGGCCATAGTGTTCGCTTTGTGGACACTTGTTCGCCCCCTATCGCGTGGAACAATATCTGCTACTATTGCAACTTCAAAAGAGCCACAATTTATGGCCGTCATTGATGCCGGGTCTTCGGGGTCCCAAATCTATATCTACAAATACTTCTTCTCCCCATACGGCCACCTGATATTTCAACCGGACCCGGCGACCTTCAAGTCCACCACTAGCCTCGATTACTTTCACGAACGAGACATTCCCCAAAAGGCTGGGGCATCTCTGGAACCACTTCTGGAATTCGCCAAGGCAAACGTTCCACACAATCTGACCAAGTCCACTCCTATTGTACTCAAGGTTACTTCGATGGGTCTGCGACAGGTTCAATATGTGCAACGAAACAAAGAAGGTGTCCATTCCATTCTCCAAAGTGTCCGAACAACTTTGCGAAATTCGAACTTTCAATTTCTCCCTTCCTATGCTGAGATTATTACGGGGGAGGAGGAAGCAACGCTTGGTTGGCTGGCCATCAATCACCTACTTGAGACGAAAAATGAAGGCAGCTTCAGACATCGCAGCTCCTCCTCGGCCCAGAATAAACCAGCTTGGAGTGTTTTGAACATAGGAGGAAGCTCTGTCCATGTCAGCATCCCTCTAAATGACACTATTGGAGTTCCAGGTAAATATATCACTTCCTTTTCAGACAAGCTGTTGGGATACTCTTTAAACCTTTTCACGCACCCCTTTGACGGATTTGGCATTGTGGATGCCAAGACTTCAGTAGGAATGACGGTCCCATACATCAAGTTTACAAAACGCAATGGAAAATTCCGTGAAGACAATAAACACGAAAATGAATATGATGACGACGAATATGAGTATAAAGATGGGGACTCAGATGGGGATGCGGATGAAAGCGGATACTACAGGAAAAGGAAGAAAGCAAACCTCAGGCAACCAGATTACAGGAGCGCAAGTTACAGGGATAAACAAGGCCATGAAATTTATTATCACCCGTGCTATCCAAGTGGATACAGGGAGGCCAACATGCATAATTGGAGAGGTATCGGTAGCTTTGAAGAGTGCCAATATGCAATTAGGCATCAGGACGACACCATGAAACAGAGAAGTCGCAAATCCTTTTGGAAAAGAATTCATGGGCCAGATTTGAACAAGCCTGATCACAACAAAGTATGGGCATTTGGAATCTTCTATAACATTATGAGTGGCGTGGGAGAAATAGCTAGTGACGAAGCCGCTCGTGAATTTTCCATTTCCGATTTCGAAAGGATTGCAAAGGAAATATGTGAAAAACCCTGGAAGGAGATTGACGCAAACTACCCTAAGGATACACAACCGCGAGAATACAACTCGGATTTGTGTTTCTCGGCCATATATGCCCACTCTTTCCTCACATTTGGGCTCGGGTTTGACCCGCAACAACGAATTACAATCGGGAATAAGGTGGAAAACATTGATATCCATTGGACGGTTGGCGCAGTACTCCAACATTTGTCTAAAGGGAACTTGCTTCGCTCTTTTCCAAATCATCGTACATTGGCTATTGATGCGCTACTTACCGATGGAACTTTTACAGTCTAGCTGGTTTGGTTCGGTTCAGTTCGGCATGGCATTTTAACGTTGTACCTAGTGCAAATCGCGCCTGTCGAGATTTCTTTCTCGACCATTGTCGGAGATATTGTCTTCCTACGTCAAAGTCAGGTGGTGTTGCATTTACTTGAATGAAAAGATTTAATTCCGCACTACTCTGTCCACGAGATGACACTCTCCATCATCTATTGAAAGGTAAGGTATCGCATATTTAGCGGCTACAAGTCACTAGCTCGACTTTTAGGAGAACCATGCGACATGAGGTTCCGCTTGCGAAGGGTCTACAAAGGGCTCATGGTACTGCTGTACCAATGACATCGAGAGCAGCAACTCGAGGCATGGAGCCTTGACAGCACCATGCTGATCGAGATTGGAAACTTTGTATCCAAATGGAATGTTCCAAAGGGTCTGTAGAGGATCCATGGTACTAGTATGCAGTGCTATATGACCGAGAGTAGTACCAATACAATTCAAAGGCGCATCTCAAGACATGGAACCTTGGCAGCTCTATTTGATAGGCTACAGTCCACCAGAAAGAATATGCTTCATCCCAATCGAGATCAGAAGTTGAAAATCAGATCAAACCTTGTAATGCATCCCTACAACTTCGATGTCGGTAAGCATTCCAAGCTTGCTTGGAAGTGATCCGCCTACAGTGTGTCACCAAGCAATTGTCCAAGTCTTGTGTAACAAAACTCAATCGATATGACTCAATAAAAGTTTTGGGGCAATAAACGATTGTGATTGTAATGTGTTGATTGATTAAAGGAGACATCCAAGATTTCCTTGGTGTTAATATTGAAGAAAAAGCATCATCAGGATCAGCTTCTGTATCCTGGTCTTCATCGGCGTCTCCTCAGTCTTAATCAGGATCATAATCGACTCCTGCTTCATCAAGATTGGAGTCGTTCTCTTGGACTTCTTCTTCAGCTCCTAAGGGGTCCTGTGCCTCATTGTCACTTGAAGCATATCGTTGAGGTCTCCTAGTTCGAATTCGACACCTGCATCTCGTCCGTTTTATAGCTACAGTATGATCAGAAACTTGAACCACTTCAATGATAGTATCACCTGAGTTTACAACAATACCAGCTACTACTGTAGGTGAACAAATAGGTCAATGGCTACAAAAACTGTTGTAACATAACTAGGTCGTAATCCTAGCTTTACCTCTTTTTAAATTGCCATCAGTACCCACAAAACAAGGAATCCAGAACCCAAAGTCCCAAGAACATCTACTCCCTCGCTCTCGTTGCCTTCATGCGAAGTCCCACAGAATTCAAAATGAGATTGAATTCAGCATACCCTTCTTCTTCGACCGAGAAATCGTATTTTTGGATCAAACGTGCAAGAACAGTGTGAAGGACAATGTGTGCCAACATTCGGCCAATGCAGCCTTGCTTGCCCGCAGCAAAAGGCATGAAAGCGGCCTTCATCAGCTCCGTCGGGTTCTCCCAACGCGATGGCCGAAAGGTTTCAGCATCCTCAAAGACGCCATCATTGTGAAAAATGTTATAGAATGGCAAAAGGACAAATGTGCCTTTCGGCAAGAAATAGTTGCCTTTCTTCGTTGTCATGTCTCGGCCAATCGTTCTGGACACAGTGATAGCTGCCACGGGGTGCAAGCGCATTCCTTCTCGCACTACATTCTTCAATAGCTCCGAGTTGCTCCATTCTTCTGATTCTACCTTGGAGAATGCTTCGCGAAGAGAACGTTGCTCTTCGGGATGCTTTCCCAGTTCCAAAAGAGTCCAAGTGATACTCATGGCGGTAGTATCATGACCTGCCACAATGTAAGCAAAAATTTCAGAAGCTAGTTCATCATCGGTCTTGAAGGTCGGGTTCTTCATGATGAGATCAATGACTGTCCCTTCAAGTGGTGACTCGAGGGCTCGGTAGTTCTTGATAACCTTATGGAAGATTGCATGGACAGCATGAGTTGCTTGTTTCGCACGACGACGCTCGGGTAGAATTGCCGTGAAGTATTTCCGAAAAGGGTTGGCTGTTGATTTGAGAATGTATTCCCTCGTAATCAGATCCCATTCAATAATGAAGGTGTCGATGTCTTCATTCGAAATGTCGTACTCCAATGCAGTTTCGCAGAAGGCTTTCAACAAAAGCTTCATCATTTGGTTCGCAACATCGAACGACTGATGCTTTTCTACCAGGGGAGATAGATACTCATCGAGCCATTTCTCAGTATGTTTCACGGCGACTTCAGTCATTCTTCGGACGTGCTTCTGAGAAAAGGCGGGTGCTGTTCCTTTTCTTCTACGATGCCACTCTGCATCTGCTTGCATTCCAAAGATAACTTTATCTTTGGTGGGAGAAAATTCAAGCAACTTTCCATACAATGCAAGTGGTTTGTCGGTGAGACGATCGTTCAGAATATCCCTGGCATCCTCTGGCTCGGAGACGACGACTGCTTTGGGGTGGCCAGGTATTGGTATGTTCAGCTCATAGATAAAGGAATCCAATTCCTTCGCCATCTCCAGAAAGTGAAATGGAGCCTTAGGACCGGCCCACATCCTCAACGTTTCCAAGATGCCCTTGTTGGCTTTGGGCAACGGCTTCTTGTCTTTCTCAATCTTTGAGTAGAATAGTCTTGCATACGCTTGGTACAAAAGAAAAGATGCTGCAATCACAATACCAGCAGCCATCATAACTTCTTGATGCTTCAGGTTGGGGAATGTCTCCAGGATGCTAGCCATGATGATTTGCAGAGAGTACTCGAATCAATTAGATTCTGTAAAGGCAAACTTTATGAAGGCATTTGTGTCTTGTTGTGTTTGCACATTGTCGAACATCATTCACAGTTTCTGACGATGAAATCCCACGGGAATATCAACGAAATCCGTACATCTTGTGTTTGAAGTCCCTGGAAGTACTGGTTTCACGGTAATTTTCTTCAATACGTCATTGATGAAACCCCGCGGGAATATTAACTAATCCCACACTCTCATATTTCTCGTCATCCAAAGTTTCTTTCTGTCGTCGTAAAAGGCTTCAGAATAATACCATTGATTGACGTTGACAATGAAACCCCGCGGGAATTCAATAACGGTCTCAAAAAAGATCTTCATTCGACAATCACACGACATGCATCTCAGTCACGAGCAAGACTGACAGTCTGGACGCCAGCGGTCGCGAAACTTCAGCTGGTGGTTGACATCACGAAACTTGATGAAATGGCACCCCATTTTTGTGAACAACATGACATCTTCGTCACAACAAACCTTCCTCACTGGTCTCCTGGCCGGTGCGACTATTTCATTCGCTGCGAAATGGCTTCTGGATCGAAATCAAGGTGCAGCACAGAACGAATCCTCGTCCAAACGAATCACCAAACAGAGTAGTAGTGATACCAAGAACAAGGACAAAATTCCATCCATCCCAGCTGAACTCCGAGAAGAGCAACTCTCCCGCCACACACTCTACTTTGGAGAAGAGGGAATGAAGTCAATTCGCAATTCAAAAGTCTGCGTGGTAGGCTTGGGAGGAGTGGGTAGTCACACAGCGATCATGCTGGCCCGTGGTGGAGTCGAATTCCTAAGATTGATTGATTTTGACCAGGTCACACTGTCCAGTTTGAATCGACATGCCTGTGCGACCTTGGCCGACGTTGGGATTCCTAAAGTGACATGCGTCGAAAAGGTTTGTCATCAGTTGGGAGTGGCGGGAATAGATGCTCGGGCGGAAATGTTCACCAAGGATTCTGGTCCGACCATGTTGGGGGACACAAAATGGGACATTGTGATTGATTGCATTGATGATGTTCCTACCAAAGTGGCGTTATTGGCGTACTGCGTAAAGAATAAGATTCGAGCCTTGTCGTGCATGGGTGCCGGTGGAAAATCAGACATGACCCGGCTGCACATTTCGGATATTCGAACTGCCTCGAGGGATCCACTGGCAACTAAGATTCGCAACAATTTGAAGAGAGCCATGAAAGGAGAAAGTGACGCGTACTTGGACGATATGGATCAACTTACTGTCATTTATTCTTCGGAAAAGGTTGTTGTCAAGTTGGCTGATTTGACCGAAGAACAAAAGGAGCAAGGTGACAAGTCTCAGTTTGGTAATGTGGACGGCATGAGAATCCGAGTATTGCCTGTACTAGGACCTTTGCCAGCTATTATGGGGCAAAGTTTGGCATCCATTGCCATGTGCGAGCTGGGAAAGAAGCCTATTCATCAACCAGTCACTGGCGAACGAGTGGGTAGAAACGTCCGAAATAAGATGTTTCAACATATTACACGACGGGAACAACAAATTGAGGACAACACCATACCAGGAGTATGGGCTTCGTACACCGGAAAGATTCAAATCGGCCCAGATGATATTGACTATCTATTGGGAATGTGGAGAAATCGGTGCGGGGTTACGGGTGCACGGCTGGGAACTGTTCTCCAATTGGCTCGATGGGATTTGACCAAGCCCGCTACGACAGATAACCTCGTGATCATGTCCACTCACGCTCTAAAAGCATACGATGAAGAAGGCAGAGGTTCAATTCCACACGAGGTACAAAAGAGAATAGAACTACGACTGGCGGAAGCCAGAGATGTCAATTCTGAGGCATTCTAATCAATCATCATGTAATACCAAACTTCGTTTTGTTTAACTTTGCTCTCAGCTAGGATAATCGTTATCCTTGCCACAACCTGGTAGTCAATCTATACGATTGCCCCCCAGCATAAACTGCCTATGAAGAATCTCTTCTTCGGTGCTTTTTGTGAGAGCGGCGTTTTCGGTCATCCCGGTGCCGATGTCGTTTTCGACTCCGCCTGTCATTTCTTGAACTATCATCGCTTCTTTCTTCGGTTTGATTTTCCTGTGCAGTGCCACCCCCTTTGCTGCCGACATCATTCTCATTTATGTTTTTACGAACAGCATCCTCGTCATGACTGCCACCATTTTTTGATGAAACCGTCCGGCTACCGTCCTCGTCATGGTCGTTTTCGGATTCCGAAGAGTACCGTCCCCTCCGTCGTTTTCCACGATGTCTACTTCGCTTTCTATCTTTTCTACGTCGCCTGTCCTCTGTTGAATCAACATCGCTTCTTTCTTCCTTCTGGTCTTTCTCTTGTAATATATTGCCTTTGTCCCCACGATCGTCGCCGTTTTCCTTCTTCTTGCAGTCGTCACTAGCGTCACCACCAGACACTACTGACCGACTGCTGTCGTCTTCGTCCGATTCTGAAGAGTAGTACCGCCGTCTTCGTTTTCTTCGATGTCTCTTCCTTTTCTTCTTCTTCTGCTTTCGGTCCTTTTTTGACTTTTTCTTGCGTCGTCTCGACCTACTGGAATCATCATCATCGCTGGCAACATTACCCCCACAGTCAGCGTCGTCTCCCATGACAAGCGCCCGTTCCATGAGAGCATCGTTGTATGCGCTGTTGCCTTTGGCCACTTCCACATTACGACTTGACAAGAAGTCATACTTGGGCGCATTGTTTCGCAGCATCAAGTTTTGCTGCTGCTGTTCCATGCGCATTCGTCCCTCTTTTATTCGAACCAACTCGAGTTGTGTCTTTTGGGCGAGCTTGTGATCCGGATCAGTCTCCAGCGCACGTTTTAGCTTGGTTTCGGCTGCTGCGAAATCGTTGTTGGTGATAAGTAGTTTGGCATGAGCCGTTAGTAGATCGGCATGATCGGGTACCAAATCCAAGCCCTCCAAGAATTTGGTCTCGGCCATGTTCGGATTTATAAAGAGTTGTTCGTTGCCTTCCTTCAGACGATCTGAAGCCCAAGCATCATTTTGCTGTCGACGCAATTCTAGATAGGTACAGGGCGAAAAGACTAAACTGTCTTCGGTGGGGTTGTCATCCGATGATTTTTCCTCGTTTGTATTGCCATTAGCTTCTCCTTTCTTAGACGATGCCACTTGTTCCATTAGTCGCAATCGCCAAGGGATGTAGGATAAGGACGATTCAGGTGCATTCCTCGCGTTCCCCTCGTCATCGTTGCCGTAAAGAAAGGGCAAAGTGATCTTGTAATCAAACGGATGATGTATTCTCCTGGAGAAATCAGACATGGAAAGCGTATCAGGAGCATCTTGGTGTTCGTCAGCATCATCGTCTCTTGCTTGTGATTCTGATGTATTTTCCGCTTCAATTGTCGCTTCATTTTTGACCTCGGTCTTTCCCTGCACAAGACTAGCAGCCTCTTCCATAGGAATAGCAGTCCTTTAGTGGTTTCTTAGACTGATCAAACCATGCAACGCCTCACAAACTGAATTTGTGTTGGTGGCATCATCGAGAAAGTTGGGGTGAAATGGTCTGCGCGATTTCAGCGCGAAAAACACGAGAACTGATTCGTCCGACTAAAGGAAACGAAAGAAGCAAAGTCAAAGAAATGCACTTTCACTTGACCATGATGCGATGTGCGATGTTCATCAGTAGGGTTATTTGGCTGTTTTAAAGGTGAAAGTTATCAATTCAACTGGAGGAACTATCAAATTTTTGCTTAAGCAACTGCTGAAAGGGTCGGAAAAGCGCCATCTGCAAACCCAACCATAGCGATTGATTCCGTTGATTGGTTATTGATTCGCAGTCTCATGTCTTCTTTGGCAGCTACCCAAGCAGATGGCTACTACTTGCCTCCAGAGTATTATGACTCTGGAACTTACAAGAAGAAGTCAAAGAATCAATTCGCTAATTCCAAGGGTCACAATCAATTTGTGAAATCTGGAGTTGCACGATTTGAGTTGCCGTAAGTGAATGAATGAAATTGTTGGTTGTGTCGAGACATCTCAGTTCTTGACCATCGCGGCACAGCATGCAAACATTGGACTTCCTCAATAACGTTGTCTAATTCATGTCTTTTATTTCTTTTTTGCAGATACAAGGGTGTTTGTCTCTCCTGCAAAACCTCCATTGCCAGAGGAACTCGTTACAATGCCAAGAAGGTAGACACTGGAGAGTCCTACTTTACCACGAACATATGGGAATTCCAAATGACCTGTCGTGTCTGCTCGCATCCTTTTCGCATTAGAACAAATCCCCAAGAACGAGGTTTTGACTATGTGGAAGGCATCAAGATTCAAGCAGGGCAAGAACCCTCCAAGGAATTGCTCGAGCGAACCTTTTCCACCAACATGGACGTTCCAGACGCTCTCGAAAAGCTGGAAGCTCAAGCTAAAGGCAAAAAGAAGCTCATGACCGAGATAGATCAACTAGAAGGACTCCAAAAGCTTAATGAGAAAACCAAGCTGAACGACTCGGCTTCGAATGCGACTATTCGAGCCCGTTTCCGCAAGGATCGCAAGGCCAAACGAGCTAGAATACGAGAAGCCAAGAGTCTTGGTTGGAGAGAAGGAATGGAAGTGGTTGGGACTTCTCTAGATGATCAAGTAGCAGCCAAAGAAACTGTCTTTGGTAGATCCAAAGAGACGGAGAAGAAGCGATTTGGTGCGGTGAAGCAGTCCTCCATCTTTGGGAACAAGGATGAAAGCAAGCGAAAACGAACGGGGAGACCGAAACGGGAAAAAGATGAAGACATACCTAATGCCGCTACTATTTTCCCCGACCCTGCTGTCTCAAAAACAGCAATACCGCTAGATTTACCCTCCAATCCGATTGATTCTGAAGTGAAACCGGAAACGGACCTTCGTAAACAGACGAGAATAAAACGCAAGATAAATCCAGCCATGATACAACAGAACCCAGTGGATGTGCTAAAGTCGTCCTCCTCATCGCCTGTCGAGTCGACGTTTTCAAGTATGCTAGCTGGTTATGGATCAGATTCATCGGACGATGATTGACCCACGGCCTGATCCATGACAAGTTTCCAATGTTGTTCCCATGCATGCATGCATGCGGTTCCGCTTGATTGCAGTCGAATGTCCTGCAACAGAATATCCACGATGCAACCAAATCAGCTCCAGCGCAGTCGACTATAGACCAAAACCTGTAATTTCTACTATTACTGAACCTCCAAATAGATGTATAGACTCCTCATGAAAAACAGAGATTTTATTACACCCGTAATCTATAAGAAACAACGTCTAGATTTTAAAGAAACAAATATATCAATTTTTGGCCTTTTTGTACTGCCCCCAATAAACAAAAAATGTTTCTAGTAGATACTTTAGGAGGTGGTCGAATATAAAATTTGCGCTTACGATTCCTGAAAGAGAAAGGAGTGTAAATATTTTGGTTGGCGATGTGAAAAAAACAACTGAAACCCACTTGATCAATATGTGCATCCTACAAACTCACCATCATCGCCTTGAACTCAGCGAAACTAATTTCACCATCACCGTTTGTGTCAACTTCATCCATCATGGCATCTAGTTCGGCCTCAGACAGGGCCTGTCCCAGCTTCTTCATCAACCTCTTAAGTTCTTTTCTGTCAATCGATCCACTTCCATCCGTGTCAAAGACGGCAAAAGCGTCCCTCAATTCCTTCTCTGGATCTCTTTCACCAATTCGTGACTTCATCAGAATGAGAAACTCCTCAAAGTCAATCTCGTGGTCCCCATTGTCATCGACGGTGTTGATCATTTCAATCAATTCCGCTTCCGAAGGGTTTTGACCAAGCTTCCTCATCACCTGTTGGAGTTCATTCAATTCAATGGTTCCTAATGACAGCAGTCAAAATAGCGGCAATCAATACCAGCAAGAAGTAGCGATGACAAGGTGAGTACAAGGACGGATATTTTGACTGCTCCAAAAGAGAGGCAGACATTGAAACTTAAGCCAAGGATGAGCCCGTAGAATAACCTACCGTCTCCATTAATATCGAACATAGCAAAGGCCTCCTTAAGGTCAGCGACCTCCTCTTCTGTCAACTCTCGGTCTGCCATGGTGGATCTATTATTCAATTATTTGGTTTGTTAGATGATACCTGTCAATCTTTCCCTTCGTGCCTTGCTGCTAGAAGTCACAAAAAGCATGCTGGTCATAGCAAGCAGCCCCCAACTTTTTTTACTTTTTTCTCCATACACCCCTTTGGCAGACATGCATGCTCGTGTGCCTATAATTCTGGTACAAACGCAAGCCAGGTTGCTCTCGTGGCCCTCGTAGTAACGACAGATCCGTTGAGAATTCTTCTAATATTCGCGCACCCTTGCGCGTCCCCCAATTAGGGACCTTCCGAGCACAAAATGTCTCAATTCTGTTGAAAGGAAAATGATGATGCACATGATGGGCTTGGGGAAGGGATCGGCGGAACGATTCAAAAACAGGAATGGATCTACAAGCATGATCAAGAGTAAGTCAAGGGAGTTGAAACCTACGACTAACTCTATCTTGGGAATTGGGAACAGATGTAGTTAATTCAATTCGTGTTTCAGTTGGTGGTTAGGACGATAGCATGTTGTGTAGCTGGGACGACATGGAAATTTTTCTTTTTGAGATAGCCATGCGTCGCTATGTTGTCTTTCTGGTGCTGATATAGTAGCTACTATACTATTGTTACTTCCTTGGGTACCGCTTCACTATGGACTTCGCGCCATCCCAGCAACTTACTGTAGTTTATTTTGGGGGATCCCTCCAATAGTAGGGGCATTCCTACACAGCGGCTCTGGTAGAAACACGAGTGGCAATCATTGTCTCATTCTGCATCGCATTGTGATTCTTGCTATCAAAAGTGAGTGCCGACGAAGCGAGTATTGCGTGCATATATCGTGTCTAGACAGCATCAGATAATACTTTGCATCCAACTTTTCTAATTTCTTCTAGTTTTCCTCTTGCCTACAGAATGTCAAATCAATTCGGACAAGGAGGCGGGAACAACCTCAATGTGCTCCAACAACAGCAACAACTCCAGCAACTCCAACAGCAGCTGCAACTTCAGCAGCAACAACAACAACAGCAGCAGATGCAAGGTCAAAGTGGAGGTGGTGGAAACCTCAATAATATGCAGCAGCAACAACTACAACAGCTTCAGCAGCAACGTCAGCAACAACAACAGGCGAATCAGATGCAACAAGCCAATCAAATGCAGCAGCAGCAACAAACGAATGTGGGGTCATCCTCGGCTCCGCCTAACAACCCTGCTCAGATGAACTCTTTGCCCATTCGTGCCTACTTGGATCAAACAGTGGTTCCTATTCTGCTAGATGGTGAGTCTTGAATTTGTTGAATGGCAAACGAATCCGCTGAAACGCGGATGAAATCTTTCATGAATGTTTGGCTCTCACACATCTTCTTGCTCTCTCTCCTTCAAATGATATAGGCATGTCGGAACTCGTCAAGGAACGTCCCAGCAACCCTATCGAGTATTTGGCCAACTACTTGATCCGCAATGATCCCCAACGCGTTGGTGCTCCTCAAAGTGCCACCATTCAACAACTTCAGCAACAAAACATGATGATGAACATGAACAAGAACTAAGCATCATTGTCGTGTGTCCTGGTTGAAAAATGTTGTTTGAAATAGGAAAATACAAAAGCCTTGGAACTACAGTAAACGGAGGAAGCAGGCTTGGGGTACTATAGCTTGCGTTCCTAATCTTCCCTATCTAGTGAATATATATGAATAAAACTTGTCATTTTTCGTAATGTTGTCCTAGTTTTCATTTAGCTGTAGGATACCCTCTGTTTCACGTAGGTAGCCAGCCCCCTGTCCTAAGTTTCTTGGATATAGCAGAAGTATCCACATCATGACAAATCAGCCATCCTCATCGTTTCTCTTCAGTAAGTTTTCCAAGCAGAATATATACAAACAGTTGACTTCCGGGCCTTAGATTTTAGACCAAGAGGACGATATGCGATTTCTGTGGATCCCACCAGACATTTGGAAGACATGATGGAAGGTATCGGTACTTTTAGGCTATGATATGATAGGTATAGTCTTTCCAAAGTTCGATTCAGCCGAATACTGTAAAACACTGAATTTGCAACACAGAACCGGCACGAGTACCTCGTAGGGCGATGGGACAATGGAGGATACCCCTGATGATTTAAATGCAAATCAACATGTAGCAGCATTGCCGCAAGCCGAAGTTGTGACGGACATTGAAGGAGACGTGCAAGACGAAGTGCGACGGGTGATCCAAGAAGCTTTAAGAAGGAGACAGCAACGGCAAACACCACTGGCGATAGTACTTCCTCACGTCACTGCAGAATCACAAAACGATGACGAATCCTCTAATGACGACGAGGATAAGAACGAGAAGAAACTTTGCGGACTTTCCAAATGGGCATTCTACATGTTGATGGTCGTTGCAGTGGGAGGCATTGTTGGTGGTGTTGTTGTTGCTGCGACGTCATCTTCCAGCAGTGGCAACGGCACATCTTCCCCAACTGTAATTCTGACTCCAATCACACTGGCGAATCTTCTGTATCCTGATCAAGATGGGAAAGATCTTGCGCCAGCGCAGTCTGACGCCATCCATTGGATTGTGGAGACGGATACTTTCTTTCAGAATCCGACAGTCACGGATGAGTTATTGGAGCGTCATGCTCTTGCTACATTGTACTATGGACTCCGTGCTTATAATTGGACTGCTTCCTCCAACTGGCTTAGTGGTACAACTCATTGTGAATGGGAATTTGTCGGCTGCAACGAGATTGGCTCCGTTATCAGTTTACAGTTGGACTACATGAATGTGCAGCTCGAATACGAGTATGAAGGAATTCTCAAAGGAAGTCTTCCGGCGGAAATTGGGAGATTGAGCAACCTAAACGCGCTGTCATTAGCTGGCAATGAAATCACCGGTCAGCTGCCTTTGCAATTGTATGATCTAACGATGCTAACTCAGTTGAGTGTTGCGTTGAACAAATTTACTGGTTCAATCCACAAAGCTGTTGGACGGCTGTCAAGGCTACGAAGCATCGACTTGGCAAATAATCTCTTCCATGGTGATTTGCCATCTGAGATAGGTTTGTTAAGGCAGTTGGAAGAAATGTCGTTGGGGAACACCTATTTGTCGGGGCAGATACCGAGTGAAATCGGGAGTTTGGAATTCGTAAAGACAATCAAGCTCTCAAGCACGAATCTGTCGGGCCCCATCCCCTCGGACATGCAGAAGCTGCGTCTGCTCGAGTTATTTGATATTTCGGGATGTGGCTTGGAGTCTACAATTCCAAGTTTCTCGACTAGTCTGAAGAGTTTGATTCTCAACGACAACGTGTTTCCCACACTCCCAACGGAACTCTTCCTGCTTGGCAACTTGAGGAAGCTATTTCTTTCAAATACGACGCTCAGTGGACAGCTACCCAGTGAGATTGGTAAATTGACGTCATTGACTGAGCTGATCCTGAGTGATAACCGTATCGAAGGTCCCTTGCCTTCCGAACTTGGGAATTTGAGGCTGCTTTTGTATTTGCATATGGATGACAACATGCTCGCCAGCACCACGTTACCTACCGAGCTTGGTAATCTCGCGAGCATGGTACATCTCAGTTTCGAAAACAGTGCTCTCGTTGGAAGTATTCCCACCGAGTTTGAAAATCTACAGGATCTGTGTTACCTATACCTGAATGAGAATCAAATCATCGGCCCGATCCCAAGCGTGGTCGGAAGAATGGCGAGCCTAAGGAAACTACAGTTGAACAGAAACCTCTTGACGTCCACGATCCCATGGCAGATGTCGCGTTTAAGTAATCTTTTTTCTATCAATCTGAGCAACAACCAATTGACAGGAAATGTCCCAGCCTCCATGTCAAGGTTGGAAGAGAACATTCAAGACATTAACCTTTATGGGAACAATTTGACAGGTGGATTGGAGACTTTATTTTGTGGCTCTCTTCCTGACTTGCAAGAATTTGTTGCAGACTGCGAGCTTCAATGTACCTGTTGCACTGGATGCACGAGATAGCAGTAGCATCCTAGCAACTACAGTAGCGCTGTAGTGGAGGCAACTAAAGGAAGCTGTATATTAATTGGTTCCATAGCGTATCATAGTTTTAAAATATAGCACTATCTTTTTCCCACAGTTTTCAAAGACAAAATTTGTCAGATTTCGAAAATAAATGCTCAAACACAACCAAAATGCCTCCAAATCGACATTTTGGGCGTTAATGTCTTGTAAATGACTTGATCCACGCCACAAATTGAGGGAGACTTGTGGCAATTTGGTGGCACATTCATTCGTCTCACATCCCCAAAACCAGAAACCGAGAAGATGGTGGGGGGTTTGGTTGTGGGTTGTGGATGTGTGCAAGCACTATTCAATCCACCAACGTAAGTATAGACTAAAGCTTCCAAGTGGATTCATCCGTATTTCCACCACGAAGAAGTAATAAAAATGAATGGTTGATTCATTCATTCATCATCCCAAGTGCCACCGATAAGCTCCTGCCACAATCCATCCCGCAGAACAAGCCCATAAGAATCGTTGATTTTTGACAGGTACCCCTTCTTCAATGGCTAGCTTGGCAAAATATAAGGAGAGTCCAGTGCATACAGCGATACCCGTATAGAGACAGGATTTGCAAGGTTCGTCAAGTTCACGTTGGAGTCGTTCAATTTCTTCCTTGTAAGGATTATCCGGAGAAGGACGCTGATCGCATTGTGTAGTGTTGGTAAGTTTAAAGAGATAGTATCTTTGTTGATGCTGTTGTTGTTGGAGTGGATTTCTCCTCTTTGTTGTTCGTGATGCCAGACAACTGGACAGCATCTTTTTTTATTTGATGCTTCCATCTGACGATGGGCTTCGATTTACGGAGTCGCAGAATTCGAACGGTATTATTCAACGAACGAATGAATGAATGGAAGGTGAATCCAACAAATGACACCCTAAAAAAGACGGTCTTTTTCATGAAAATACCCGGTCATTCTTCCGATATCCAAAGGATTCTACCGTTTCACGGTTGCCAGCGAATGATTTGCAGGCCGGCCCGCGCCCATAAAGTAGGGTACGACTGGCTCTCAACAGATCCTTTGTAAATCTGGTACATTTTCTACATGCCTCGCAGGCATTCAAACCACTAACGGACAAAAAAATAATTTGAATCCTACGTGGAAAAAGTACTAGAGCTGGCATCCGAGTTGTGTGTGGCAACAGCCCCCAGCCACATCTGTGCCTCTTGGAATCGGGAAGACCTACACACAACACTTACTTGTCTGAAATAAACTTGCAACCATGGCTGATCAACTTACCGAAGAACAAATCGCTGAATTCAAGGAGGCCTTCTCCCTTTTCGATAAGGATGGCGATGGTGAGTAGTTTTTTTTGTGTTGTACCAAAGCATGGCATATCATTGATCGGTTTGAGGTTCCGTGTTGTGCTGCCAGAATCTCGGAGGCGTGCAGACAAAAAGACCATGACTGGCATCCAATGCAACCCGTGGCAGTACTAGACCATCGTAACACTTGGTTGTATTGATTTTGCTTGGTTGCCAGCATGGTTTGTTTCGAGAATGCCTAAGTGGCGTGACAATGGGTTTCATCAGACTGATTTAGACGTGGCCTTGGTACAATGACACCGTAGGATTTTCAAAATGACAACCTCTCACACAACGCTCTTGCTCTTCACAGGTACTATCACAACCAAGGAATTGGGAACAGTCATGCGTTCCCTTGGACAAAACCCCACTGAAGCCGAATTGATGGATATGATCCAAGAGGTAGGTTTCAAATGCCATCTTTTTATATTTTGCGACCTCGGTCATTTCTCACGTGATTACAATCGTTGCTATCCTTAGATTGATGCTGATGGAAGTGGAACCATTGACTTTCCAGAATTCCTTACAATGATGGCCCGTAAGATGAAGGATACCGACAGTGAGGAGGAAATCCTTGAAGCCTTCAAGGTCTTTGACAAGGACGGAAATGGATTCATCTCTGCTGCCGAGCTTCGTCATATCATGACGAACCTTGGGGAAAAGCTTACCGATGAGGAAGTTGATGAGATGATCCGTGAGGCAGATATCGATGGTGATGGACAAATCAACTACGAAGAATTCGTAAAGATGATGATGTCCAAGTAAACATCGCCTGCGAAGACTTTCAGAGATGAGCAAACTCTTGATTTTGTTCTATTACAGTCCGCGCGATACCATATCTCTTTGTGTAGATGCAGTCTGGTGTCTATTCGTAAAACTCCCGCCATAAAATATTATATTTAGACAATTTGTCGAAACTACTTTGCCATTGCCACTCTATTCATACCACTTGATACGAAGATCTTGCTGTTGCTGCAAGTCGACCCTTGGTATTCCTCCGCGCAGAATTCTATCGCGCGCAAAGTTTTTCTTCTCGAAATTTCAAAAATCAAATACACGTGTACGTGTACCGGTATGAGCAATGTTGAACTAAATACCATGTGATTCGCATTAGAAAGATGACGAGCTGCGCATTGTCAATCAAAAAGGAGTATACTTTTACTACTGTAGCAAGCATTACAATACTAGGATACAAGTACCGTACTGTACCAAAATCTATTACAATTTAGAGGGAATCTTCAACCCATTCTTCTCTGGCTCGAGCAATCTTTCCAATATGATGGGTGTCATGGCATGCAACTCTTTTGAGACTTCCTCACGCGATTTCCCAGGGCTTCCCTTCATCTCAATGTAGTACTTGAATTTCGGCTCAGTGCCACTGGCTCGAAATTGGGCCAAACATCCATTGGTAAAGCCAATCGAAATCATGGGACTCGATGCCGAACACGGCAGTGTAGGCTGTTTGTCCGGTTTGGAAGAATCGTAGCCGGGAACCCCCAAGTCGCGAATGTATTCCACCTGGTAGGGAGACAAATATTCCAAGTCATACTTGCCATTGCACCGTATGCGGTCCATGATCTAATTAATAAGTAAAAGAGAACAACAAGTGAAAAAGTGTGAGTGAGTCTTGACTTGAATTCTTGCCTCAATAGAGTCAGTAGATAATCAGCGAACATCCAAGCTGCATTGCTTACCTTGTGAACTACGGAAGAATCTTCGAGACGGTAGTAGCCATTGTGGCTTACAAACTGGAAAAAGACGGAAAGGAAAGTAATGAAATAATCAGTCAGTCAGCCGAGAATTCCATAATACCTAGTACATCACTCATTCATACTGTCAATCAAGGACGTACCTCTCCATATTTGTCGTAGAGACTCTGCATGTGCTGTTTGAGTGTCAACCCCTGTCTGTATTCATAGAGTGCCATTTCACTAAAGACTGCCATGGCACTGACTCCATCCTTATCAAAGATGACATCGCCACAGCAAAATCCAATGGCTTCTTCGTAACAAAACAGATTGCGATATCCTTCCTTTTTGCTCAGCTCTTGTGACCGGGATCCAATCCACTTGAACCCAGTCAAGGTATCTTCAAAGTGAAAGCCTTCCACCCGGGCAATCTCTGCCAGCATTTTGGACGAGACCGTAGATCCGCACATGGAGACGGGCTTGTCACAGTTTTTACCAATTTGAGTCCACATCCAATGCCCTAACATGATGCCAATCTGATCACCAGAGAATACAGTCCATTCTCCAGTAGATCGGTCTTTTTCGGCTACTGCCAATCGATCGGCATCGGGGTCGTTGGCAAGTACAATGTCACACTTTTGGTCCACCGCATATGCCTTGGCAATGTCCAGGGCACCCTTTTCCTCAGGATTGGGAAATGGAACGGTAGGAAAGGTGAAATCGGGTTCTTTTTGGTCTGGGATCGCCACAAAGGGTGGCAATCCAAATTCGGAAAAAACCCGCTCGGCAAAGGGATGGCCAACTCCGTGCATGGCCGTGTAGGCAAAAGATGGTGGAGACAAGGATTCATCAGTCGATGACATGGTTGCTTGTTCCGTCATGAGACCATGTTTCTTGAGTGCCGCAAAGTAATCGTTAGTAATGCTTTTTGTCATTTCCGGATCACTCAATCCAAGGCATGGATCATCATTCGATGACTTCTTTTGCAGCTCTTGTAGCACTGAACCATAGTCTTTCCAGGGAGCCAAATTGGCCATGATTTCCTTGGAAATATCAGAGTCCATAGGAGATCGTATTTGACACCCATCGGATGCGTATACTTTGTACCCATTGTCCTGCTTTGGATTGTGGGAGGCTGTCACCATGATACCAACAATGGCCTCGGTTTTTTGCAAACAAAAGGGGATCAAGGGTGTAAAGGCATAGCCGTCTAGCAATATTGGTTCGATACCAGCCTCTTGGAACACTAGCGCTGTCAGAATGGCAAAGGAGAGGGAAGAAATATTCAGGCCGGGATTGGATCGATGGTCGTATCCAATGACACCCTTTGGCTTCTTGTCGTCAGTTGTACTGGTCTTGGACGACGTTTGCAAGGCATACTTGGCAATCCCTTGGGCCGCTTGAAGAACCACGAGATCATTCATTCCCAACGGCCCTGGTTTCATGGCAGATCGCAAACCAGCCGTCCCAAAACTAATACGTCGACCATCGGACGGAAAGAGGGATGACAATTCGGTCATGGAGTCTGAAGTCGTGGTGTCTCCCCCTTTGACATCTTGGATCAATTTTGCAACATGATTAGCTGTAATCGGATTTGGATCCATTGCACACCATTCCATAGCGGATTGGAGCGGTGTGGGAGGCTGCGAAGATATCATTTTACGGTACCGGTATGTTTGTCAAGCTTTGTAATTGTGTGACGTTAAAGATGTCATCGTGGTGGCATCGGAATTTATTTTATTTTCAAATACGTGTTTCAGACGACTCAGTCGAATCAACCTCGTCACATTTTTTTGACTCAGCAACTTCCAACAAAGAAGAAGAAGCAAAAGAAGTTGGGAAACGGCAACATCACAAGTTCAGCAGCACAACTTCCACCATGTGCGGGCCAACAAAAGAGACTCAGAATGATGAGCTCGATGTGCCCAAAAAACAAATGGAAGATATCCGAGAGGAGCGGTTGAGCGAGTTGCGAAGTTCCTACCTTTCTGTCCTATCGGCAGAGCAAAGACCGATTGAAGATGGCGAATCTGACATGACGGACGAAGAATTGGAACCCTATCGAATGCTCGGGGACGCTCCTATGGACACTGTGCTAGATTTGCTGCGAAAAGAAGGTCACAAACTTGGTGCTATGGACAACTTTCTGGAATTGGCATATCAGGCGAATGAAATGAAGATGAATGATGCCAAACAAATAACTCCATCTCAAGAGGCCATGTGTACCTTTTTGAAGACATACGAACACCTTCCATCTTGGGTGGACAAACAACAACTGCAACGAGGACAGGATGTCTTTTTGGCGTACTCGCCCGCCGCAGCGCTGTCGCTATACTATCGAAGTTTGGTGCCCGGGTTCGCGGCACCCAAGATCAATGCTGTGGTCCAGTCCACTGCCTACCTTACACCTCCGGCACGACCCGATCAGAGTTTGCAGCGGATTCTAGATACAGGTAAGCCTTTCTTTTCGTTTGAAAATGAATCCACAATCTCATGGACCTAACAATGCAGCTTCGTTTCACCAACAATAATCAAACTTGACTACCACGAAAGGTGAATTGTTGGCCGCTTGCACTGGCTTGGGCGTCGATGCCTTGCTTCCTAGGGGCATTGGATGGAAGATGGCCATTCATGTGCGGGTCCTGCACGCCAAGATTCGATTTGCCTTGCTGCAGCGCCAAGGCAAACGGACATGGGATTTGGCTGCAAATGGAATTCCCATCAACCAAGAAGACATGTCGGCAACTCTGCTGGCCTTTAGCGTCAATGTGTTGGTCGGAATCGATCTGATATCTGGTAGCTCCTTATCGGACAAGGAAAAGTTGGATTATTTGGCCTTGTGGCGGTACATTGGTTGGTTGCTGGGCATTGAAACTCGATGCGACGACCACAATCCATTGGCCAATCCACGATTGTCGGGGGAACCCAGTTTGGAAGAATTGCCGCCCTTGGATCCATGTGGGCCACCACCAAGACTACAATTAGGAGTATTACAAGGCAACAAGAAGCAAAGCCTTCGCAACCCGATCCAACGATCCTTTGCCCTCCTACAGTCCATTGTCAATCACTTAGGCGATCCCGACGAGACATCTGTAACCATTGCTCATCACTTGCTAAAGGTGACGGATCGTTTGCCTCCAAAGGGCAAATCCAAGGAAGAATTGGATCAATTCTATACCAATCGATTGTTTTATTACCGATCCTACCAATGCCGTCGATTCATTGGGGATGCCCTGGCTGACGCCTTGGAACTTCCCTTTCATCCCAGTCCCTGGACACGTAGAAGCATCGCTTTGTCGTCGTCCTTTTCTTGGTTTCTCTTTCGATGTTATACCTTGATGGCCATGAAGGTACCCTTTTTGCGAAAATGGATGGTGCGCTTCCATGGGCGTGGCATGATGAAGTTTCATCAATTGTGGAACAAGACGTACGAAAGCAAAATGACCAAGCTGATGGAGGTACGACAGTCCATGGCGGGTATTTTGGGATTGTCTACTACTAGTACTACTACTGCTGCTGCTACTACCGTGCCCAAGGAAGAAACACCGACCAAATCTGACAACAACAGCAACAAGTCGAGCATGTGCCCATTCGCCATGATTGCTCCACCAACACAATAATATAACAATAATAGTGTTCCAAAACTCGGTATCCTAATACTTTATTATTGTTACAAACAATAATAACATCGTATATATATAATATCACTTCTTTTACTTGCTATCGATTCAACACGGCATTGAAGGAGATTCCATTGATTTCATTCACCACTTCCTGGACTTGATCGAGCGACGGAATGTTGAAATGCGCCGAAACATTGCCCCTCCTGGCATTGGGTTGTTGCAAGCGACAGGTCAACATGCCCAATTCCTTTGCGGCCTTCAAATAAGGATCCTTGTCACTGACCACCAATATTTTATTGGGATGAATTTGTAAGTGATCCATCAATTGATCCTCCAACAGACTTTGATAATTGTCGGCACTGCCCTGTGCTGCAACTTGGGTAGGATCCACAATGCAATCAATCACCACATCCTTGAGTTGTCTCTTTAGCGATTGCATGGATTGCAATACTTGGTGATTCATAGTATTATTGTCTTTTTGATTGATGGGATTGGGCAATAATGCCAAATGGATGGATCGATGGGATAAATAACTTAGTAAAATACCGGTCCCGGACATGGCCATCCATTTGCTCGCATTGTCTCCACCACTGGCCATGGCTAGTTTGCGCGCCTGTAAGTGTCCTGGAGCATCTCCCTTGGCCAAATCGCTGGCAACTTGATGCTTGGCGAGTTCAATGCCGGCGATACCTCCTTGGAGTTTCTTGGCGTATTTGGCACGAACGTCTTGGTTAATTTCCCAGGATGCTTTGGGTGTTGGTGGTGGTGGTGGTGTTGAGGACTGGGTGGAACTACTACTAGCAGTAGCTGTACCAGGAAGATCCACATTCAATAACGATGCCACTTGTTCGATGCGACTGGCATCTGGTTGGATGGAAGACGACGAGGGTATGGGTGCCGTTGAGGTGGTTGCATTTGCATTGCTTTTCTTGTTGTCTTGAACTTGATCCTTCCCAAAGGTCGTGAGAGTTTCAAAATCAAAGGCAACGGCTTGCAATTTGCTATTCTTGGAAGCATTCTTGACCGGTCGAAGGATGGAATTGTCGCTGGAACCAGATGGCATGCCTCCCATGTCGATCATACGTCCAATTCCAAAGCACCGTATTTGGTGTATTGAAAAGGATGATCCTGGAAGTGGACGAGAAATGATTACAGCAGCACCATTCATGCTCCGTCTCATGGTTGCAGCAGCACTCATCTTTCGAAACTATACTGTATATATGTATCGGTAAATATATTATATGGGTATTATTCTAAGATCACAAGAGGCTTCCGATAATAGTCCACACGATACAGAATAATAGCGTGAAATAATTATAAAAGATGGATTTTTGATCGGTGGTTTTGGAGAATGATTTTGAGTGATGAAGTCAGTTGAGTCGTAGTCCGATTAGTCGAAGCCGTCCTACCATCATTGGCGCGAAGAGAAAAACATACAACCACAACAACCCGCATTGTCGTAGCCTCTTTCATCTTATATTCTTTCCCTTCATATTTTAATCCCTGTTTGCTACCACAATAATAGAGCTAGCTATACAACAGAAGACCAACTCTCCATGCAAGGCCTTTCCAATACTGAGCTGCATATTCGATGAATGAATAGGTGAATGAAACAACAAACCTACTTTAATCCAAACCATTATGTCCACGCCACAAGAGATTCAGAATCGAATACAAGAAGCCGTTGGAATTCAAGTATCCTCTGAATGGTTACATACGTGTATCGCCCATCTACAACAGCAACCTGGTACTGGTGGATCATTGGTGGATCGCTGCGTGCATCAACTCCTTTATAGCGACATTCGAGATTTGGTGGAGAACAATGCCAATTCTTCTCAAGTGATGGCACACAACACTCTCCAAGGTTTGATTGCGAGGTCCAAACAACAACAACAACAACAACAACAACAGACTCCCATTCAAACTCCTAACGACTTTTGCATGCTAGTCCAACTGGAAGAAGCCATTGATTTTTCTCTATCCCGCGAAAATCGATTCAATCCAATGCATTTTAATGCGAGGGTCCAACAAAATAACCACAACAATTACAACAACAGAAATGCTCTTCCACGCCAACGGTGTCTCAAACTTTGTCTCTCGAGTGGTATGAATAATGCCTCACAAGAAGTATTGGTGGCCCAAGAATCATCTTACATTTCCAATTTGAAACCCGACAGTCCTTCTGGCATGAAGATTGTTTTAAAAGGTCCCATTATCATCAAACATGGCTATTTGCAATTGCACAATGGCAATTGTACGGTAATTGGTGGTCAAGTACAAGCATTGGTAGAACTCCAAAAAGCTGCCATGGAAAAGGCCCGCAAGGAAATGGGAGTTGGGATTGATCCAACGGTGCGAGCCTTGGTGGGTGTTGGTGATTTGTTGCCCGATGAGCCTGAAGAAGGAGAAGGTGATGATGAGGAAATGGCAACCAATGCAACATCACCAGCACCAGCAGCACCACCGCCACCACTACAGCATCATACTATTTTTACAGCACCGTCGGTACCAACCACAACAAATAATGGACCGACTACTGCTGCTACTACTACAACAATGAATGGTGCCCAAAGTACTAGGACTGGGAGGATGATCTCAAATGGTTCCACCACGAGCAACCGCACGAATGACAGTAACAATGATTACAGCAGCAGCAATACCAGCCGTGGTGCAACGCATGCATCGGCACCTGCGCCTGTTGTTCCAGCACCAATAGTACCACAAGCTCCAAACAATCCGTATCGGAATGCTGGTCCGTTTGGTATTATCAATACAACAGCAGCACCAGCAGCAACAGCAACAACAACAACAACAACGATTCCCAATCCACAACAAGGACAGTCGAATCAAAGCAGTAGTAGAAATCAAAATCCCTATGCAAAAACAACAACGACAACACCCAATCCACAACAAACACAAAACCCCTATGCTGCTGCTCGTCGACGACAAGGATCTGTTGCCGTTGCCAGAGTTTCCATATCGCCAACCAATGTTGTTTCCATTAGCAACAGCAGCAGCAACAACAATAAGAGCAACAATCCATATGCCAAGGGCAATGCTGCTTCGCCCTTTATAACAGCACAAGCCGCACTGCTATCCACAACAACTACAACTGCAACAACTACTACAACGCCTTCCAGCAAGACCAGCATGACAATCACTCCTGCTAGTGCCAGTAGATCTGCTACTACTAGTATGATTGCGCCCAAGAGAAATCCATACGCCAAGCCCAGCAGCAGCAATAATTCCAATCATCATCATCATCATCATCATCATCAAGGACATACAACGACAACAAGTGTCTCTCGAACGGTAATACCGGTATCCTCCACATCGGGCTTTCAAACTGCTTCTACCATGCTCTCTACGATTGGTGGCAGCAGCAACGCTGCAACAGCGGCACCTCCGTCTACCTCGTCATTGTCTCCAGCAGCTTCCGACAACTTGTTGCAAAACATTACGTTTTCCAATCTGTACAAACTACTGGAACAAGCAGTGCAAAACAGGCAACTATATGAGACTTATGCGGCTATAACCTTTCGAGTGTCCATGTTCCACAAGACGGGTAATCTTCACTTTAATATTGGCAAAAACAGGGACTATAAGAAATTGAAACCGGCAAACAAATATTGTTTCATCATGCAAGCTACCTTTGGCAGCACCACCAACACGGACTTGTTGTTGGCCTGTAAGTTTCCATCCACCTTGATTGAGCCTTATTTTGAACTCTCGCCGAAAGAATTGCGTGACCTTGCCAAAGTAGATCGAATCAAAAGCGATCGCATCGTCAAGGAAGGCGGGGACAAGGTCCGGGCCAAATTCTTTCCCTTGCAATATTACAAGGCCAGGCTCTTTCCAACGGTGGATGAAGTCTTTGGTGGTGGCGGCATCAGCAATTTTGCATTGGACAATGTCAATGCACCCATTCTAATCCTGGAACCTGATAAAACTTGATTTTTGAAAGCCTTGCTCCGAATGAATGAATCGTCCGGTGTATCTCATGAGAAATAGTACCACATTTCGTTCCCTTATGCGAATTTGATCCTGCTCTACTTTGTCTCCAGCAACGCTACTCCTTTGCCTCGAAACCTAGAACACGATCCCACCATGGACGAGAAGTCATTTCAAACATGCGACTTGCCGATCGTTCAAAGGCAAATGAAAGCTCACGGACGCTTGCCAGCGCACCAACCGGCAGTCCACCTTCTTGTGCCACATCGACACCCATAAAGACGGCTTTCTTTTTGTCTTCTTCTTCTTGTTTTTGTTGGATTGTTTCTTTGGAGGGCCCGTGGGTTTCAGAAGCTCCCGAAAAGAGATCCATGGGCGTTGTCACTCCTTCATCAGCACCTTCCAAGGTCGAACACAAGAGAGCACAATCGCCTTCGTACAATTCATCAATCAGGGTAATGAATCGTCGCGCAACATCGTGGCCTTCCAGGTCCATGACTGGGATATTTTCCAAAATGACCATCTCAAAATTGTGGGCCACGGCACGATAATCCATGGCACCCAATTCGCGATCGCAGAGTTCGTCAAAGCCAAAGCGGGCGACCTTTAAGGACGACGCTACAACATTGGTAGCATTGTCATCACTTGATGTTGGTGGTTTGGCGGTGTAGGTAAGTGGGATCTCCAGCTTTCGTTGAAAACCCACAGCCAAGGTCATAGGCGTTGGAACCACGGGTTCTCCAGGTGATTCGGCAACGAGTGCTTGTAGCATGACATCGACAGCTGTTTGGGGATCTTCCTCCTCGTCCCGACCTTTTGTAAGGAAAAACGACGTTCGATCCGAGAGTACCTTGCGATAATCGATAGGTGATGCAATGGCGTGGGTGATGCAATGATGTTGAAGCAAATCGATAAAGGGCAAAAAGTAATTCCGATTCAAACCTCCTTCGTACAAGTCTTGAGGAGGACGATTCGAAGTGGCCACCACAACAGTCCCATGTCGAAACAAAACTCCAAAGAGTTGGGACAAAATGAGAGCATCGGCAATGTCCGTGACTTGGAATTCGTCCAAACACAAGAGAGAAACCTGTTCGGACCATTCCAAGCCGACCTTGACGATGGGATTGTTCGAGACGGAAGTGTCAATGGCAAAGTTGCGTCCATGTTCTTTCAAGTCTTGTTGTTTGAGTTGATGGATTCGTTGATGAACTTGGGCCAAGAACTCATGAAAGTGGTAGCGTTTCTTTTTGGAGTTGCTGCCGTTTTCATTCAACGTAGTAGTTGGTGCATTTGCATAGAAGGCATTCATGAGCATAGTCTTACCCGTTCCAACTGGTCCGTGAATGTACAAACCACGTGGGATTTGAAGCTTGACCTTTTGGTTTTTCGGTTTTTCGTCGTTTGCTTCTTTGTTGACTTGGTCAGTCTTCTCGTCATCATCAACATCATCCTTCCTGTCATCGCTTTCTTCTTCTGTTTCAAAGAGAATAGCATTATCGTAGCCGACAAGTGCTTTTTGCAGACGACTTAATCGTTTCGCCAATTGCATTTGGGCCTTGTCCTGCCTCAAATTTCCCTCTTGGACTTGTTGGTCCAAAACACTCGACACGGATGTGTAGTCTGCACCAACATTGGTGGACGGATCGTTCAATGTCGACAGGTTTCTGGTATGGTGATGGATACTCCTTGGTGCGAAACTTGGGGCTATGTTCAAATGAGCAAGTCCGCAAAACTGCAATGAGCCGGGGCTGTAAATGTTCCGTTGGAATCCTTGCTGTCGTTGCCAGAAGTCTTGAGCTCGTGTTGGTTGGACTACTATGGCCGCCACATCATTGTCCAAAGTACTCGAAATATGACACAGCTGGGCTCTTGTTCTCATTGGTTGCCGCTTCAAGTGCGGCTGTAATCTTTGGTGGAATGGTTTCAATCTCATCATGTTACTCAGCTTTCAATGTAGGTGTGGCGGCGTTCATGCAGTAGGTACTATAATAGGAGTCGTACAAGTGTGCAGATATGGAATAAGGTTGGTGTTTGAATTTTGGATTGGGAATACCGACTGACTCATCCCGGTCGAAGAAGTCGAAGTAGTAGGTACTATTACAGTCCTTAGGTCTATTGAAGATCATTTTCAATTCAATTTCTCATTTCTAACTTAGATTTCCTCAGTCGCCTTCGTTCGACACATGTCTCTTGGAAAAAGCCTTTTGTCGAGGATGTTATCATTTTGTGACAGTTGCGCAAGCAACAAAAGCAGCTGGAATCTATCAGCAGTAGCAGCATGATGACAACTGTAAATCCTGTGAACGACTCAGACGTTCTACTTGGTAAGGGCAAAGGATTGTATGAGCACTCCGGCAACCAACGTTACCGCACCTGGGTTGCACAAACGTACCCAAAATACGATGCAGCTGACAGCAATGCTAGTAAAATGGAAATTGCAAGAAGTCTCGTGCTTAAAGTGCCAAAGCAGAATCCTCCAGGCCGCTTTTTGGGATATGATGATAAGAAACAGTTGTATGAATTGAATCTTGAGGATAAGGGCGACATGAAAGAGGCGATTGCCAAGACAAGACGGGATTTCAACAACCACAGGGCCTACCTGAAGAAGGCAACTGGACATTTCAAAGTGAATCACTGCTTGGAGGTAGTGACCAAGGCCGAAAAGAAGCTGGAGAAAGCAAGGGCCGAGCTAAATGCAGCAAAGGCGGAGCTAGAGAAAGCGCTGCAAGAGAACGAAGACGCCTACAGCGTGGAAGGCGATGGCACTGATGACGAGGAAAATTGCGGTAGTCCCGAAATTGGTTATGGGAGCAATTTATCACAGGGTGAGCGGTCGCCGATGCCAACGTTGGAAGAATTGGTTGGTGAAGACTGGGTTGATGCTGTTATGGTGGCAGGTTGTGGCGAACCACCTGCCACCACCACTACCGGTACACCTTCCATCCTTGTCAAATAAGGTTGTTTTGAAGGAGTTGGATCCTTTCATGCCACCAGCGGCAGATGCTCCAACCTGGGAAGAAATGGAGAAGACGAATGCTGCGATGGAAACAGCTCGGGATGCCTTGGCAGCACTGTCCATATCTGATCGTAAGACTTCTCGAGACGAAGGTGGCGATGATGATGCGGAACGGACCCCCCCCAGTCCTTATGGATGTCTTGTATTCCATCTTTGAATTGGTGGAGTCATCGCCAGATCACCTGTGTGGCGTGGACGAGCAATTTCAGGATATTCTCAGGGACAATGAAATGAAGGAAGCAGTTAAAGTATTGCTGGGACACAATGCAAAGAAACTTCCAGGGTTGAGCTATGAAGCTCCGCGAGATGCTGTCAACATGCTAGGGGGAGCACCCAGTGAAGAATTGACAGTGCCTTCTGTTGATAGTCCCGAATCTGTCCCAAATTTTAAGGCCCCTGCAGACTTGACCGAAATCGAAATCGTTGTGAAATATAGAATCAAGAAAGAGCAGATGCTACACCGGATCTACATTAAAAGGCTTGCCACATGGTAAGGGGGCAATGATCTACGACAATGGCCAGGTGCTTTGTGGAGACTGGTATGAAAACCTCATATTCAATGTCATCTTTCAATTTGTTGCTTTTATTTGCTCATTTTTTAACTGCGTTTGTATAATACATCATCCATCTGATTGATGCAAAAGGTGTCACGGGCTCTTCCAGGGCGAAGGTTTGGCAATCTTTGCAAAAAGGCCACAAATGTTATGGGTCTTTTTATAAGAATAAAATACATGGAAAGGCAACTTATATGACAAAGACGTACAAGTACACCGGAGAGTACTACAAGAACAACAAGCAAGGAAGGGGTACTCTCAAGGACGGAAGAGGCGAATACAATGGTTTCTTTGTCAACGGAGACTTTGAAAGGGGCAGCTATCGCCGTAATGATGGTACAATCATCGAGGGAGAGTTTGAGAATTTCATTTGCGTCAAGGAGGAGGTAAGGATGTGGTAGAGAAGAAGTCGATCTGCCAATAGGCTTCCCTCAGTGTGTGGATATTACTTTGATACAGTGCTCCAGTGCAGTTTGTCGTTTTTTATTTTTAATGCTACTTCTAGTTAGACGGCGTGGCGACGATGTAAAATATTAGTATCCAAACATATGTACGTCTCCTCTTCTCCTTCTCCAGATGATTGATGAGGCGTAGGATTGGGAATACGGAAGTCAAGTCTGTGTTGGCTTCGCTCTAGAGGCATCTGCCGCGTAACTATCTTGTTCTCACATTCGAGTACATAGTACTGGTACTGGAGCAAGACGACCCAAACATCATTCTGATTTCCTACTTGAACTCGTTTGTTGTTCTTTTCCAATGTCGCGCACTTTATCGAGATAAAGATTCAAGAAATATGCCGAACGATTCCCCCATCCACGTGTTGGGCAATCCCATTGATGCCGCTCGCACGGGGACTGCACAGAAAGACCGCGGCAAAGGCAATTTCGTCGGGATCCAGAAATCGTTGCAGCAAGGATGTTGGCTCAAATTGTTCAAAGTACTTGGACGACGCGGCCTCGATATCGTCTCCAAATCCGTTGTCCGACGCCCAACTTTTCATGTAGTCCTTCACTCCCTGGGTGAGTGTCGGACCTGGCAGCAGCGCATTCACCGTGATATTGTTGGATCCCTTGGTGAGCTCGGCAAGGCCGCGCGATAAGGACAATTGCGACGTCTTGGAAACGCAGTAGGGAATCATGTTGGGCAGCGGTTTCAGGGCCCCTTCACTCGAAACAAAGAGGACACGACCAAATGAGTTGCGTTTCATCATTCGGGGCAAAAAATGGCGGCTCAAGCGAACCCCTGACATGGTATTCGTATCGTAGTACTGTGACCACTTTTCGTCCGTAACATCGACAAAATCTTGAGAATGAAACATGCCCACGTTGTTTATGAGAACATCGACCACTTCACGCTTCATGGATGTTTGAATCTCCATGATCTTGGAGATGAAGCTTTCCACACCGTCTGCCGAGGACACGTCGCCCGAAGCTCCCCACACACGCTGGGATGCAGCATCATTGCCACCAATATGCTTGGAAATAATCTGAACAGCAGTTTCGGTGGACTCTTCGCTTCGACCGTTCACAATTACCACGGCGCCGTTCTGGGCCAACATCTTGGCAATCGCCATACCAATTCCTCCCGTGGATCCCGTCACAACACAGAGCTTATCTTTCAACTGCAAGTCCATCGTGGTTGGTTGGTATTATCTATTTATCCGTGATATGATAGATTTAAAAATATAATGAGAGACCAACTAGCGGCATGAGGCAACATGTTGAATTTTGCCTTCTTTTTGTGACGATTGTTGTGGGAGTCGAAAGAAGCAGTCATCAGTTGGAACGATTTCGAACATCATCGAAGCAAAGAAGGAAATCGAATGAATCAATCATTGAATCAAGATTGATTCAATTCAAATGAGGATTGCTTTCCGTCTGCACGTACGGATACGTGTACACGTACACGTGTACCGGTACCAGGTGTCGTCTCGCATTCCAACAGAAGTAACAGCATTAGATTGCACCTATTGTTGACATGCCTAATGCACATCTACTGTGTGTTCTTTCTTATCTTTATAGCTGCCCAATCGATTTCATGAAGAACATCATAAATTGCGAAAGCCATTAGCTTTGTGGAGAATGTCATTGTGCTGCGTTACTGTATTGATGCGAAAAAACCAAATCTTGGTCAAATTGGGGACTATGGAAGTGCCGTCTGTACACGGTACGGAGCTCAAGAGAAAAAATCATTTTCTTGTTAGTTTTCGACACATACATGTCATGACGAAGTTGCCATATTCATGACAATCGGAAGATTGCAACAGAGCAAGCGATAGAAATGGATTTACCGTTCGAGATTGGTGAGGCCTGATCTACCTTGAAGTTTGAGTAGATTCAACTTTGCTTGCACAATTGAAATGTGCTGTTTTTTCATCAGACACTACAGGAGTTTCGATTCTTCCAACAATTGAATCAAATGATCAATTGCCTGTCAGTGCTATGTCTTATAATGCCAATTGCACGATCATTTCATCGATCCAACACGAGAGAGCTGTCGAGAGACCGGGGCAGAATTCTGGAAGTGCAACTGACTACCGTTAGCTCCGTAGCGCCCGACGACGGTCCTGAAACATCGTCTCCTCACACAGAGGAACCGGCCGCTCTCATTGCCGTGAATGACACAGACACGTTTGACCAAGCCATGAAAAAGTAAAATGCCATGTAGAGGAATCAGGTGGTGTGCCGGGGTCGATTCGAGCACCCTGACACGGCAGAAGTTTACATGAAGAAAGCGGACCTTTTCTGGAGGAACGGAAGGCACGAGGAAGCATATGAAATGTATGAATTAGTGCTTGAGATCAATTTGGTAACGTCTATTGAGCCCTGATATGTTACGAGAGCATATCTTCGATTGGCAGATATCCTGGCATCTCAACGGAAGGAAAACGAATCACTGAAATTGCATAGGGAACTGCTGGAGATTCAATTGTTGACTGCTGATGGTGACGATCATGCAGCTCTAGCTGATGCATACGACCGAATGGCGAGCGCTCTTCTTTTTTCTTCCAATAACGACAACGGAGAACTCGAAATGCGTAGAAAGGCGCTAGAGGTGCGATTGAGCTACCTTGGACATGGCACTACCGAAGCGGCGGATTTGTATGACGATATTGCCGGACACATTGATTTTATGGAACGAAATGATGGCAAAGCGCTCAAAATGAGGAAGAAAGCACTTGGAATTCGGATTGAAGATTTGCGAAAAGAATCACGAAGCTGTAGCAGAGAACTCCCATCAGGACGAAGCAGCCAAAATGTTTAACAAGGCGCGGGAGGCTCTATTGAATGATTTGCATGACAGTCCTTACGTCAGAGCAAAACAAGAAGGAAGCTTTCGAAAATGTACAAGAAATTGCTTTCAGTTCGAGAAAAGATCTTTGGACAAGATCATGAAGCTACATTAGACGCCTATAGGAGAATTATCTGTGCTGTGCAATTTGATTTTCACTTTGGAGACGACCAATGGTTGTTAGAATTGCGTCGCAAGGTACTGGAGTCTCTATCATTGAGGACAGTTGGGCATGAGCATCCATATAGAGCAAGCGCCTACAGCGATACAGCAGATGCGCTTCGAAGCATATGCGGCAATGAAGATGAAGCAGTCGAGATGTATGAATCAGCGATTGAGATACACTTGAATGAGCCTTTCGTGTATTGCTACTCAATTGAATGGGCATACAGGCACATCGCAAGTATCCTAACACGTCAACGAAAGTACATTGAAGCAGTTACAATAAACAAAAGGCTGATAAATTTCCAGTTGAAAACATTTGACCATGAACATCCAGATATGGCGGAGACTTACGGTACTTATGTTGATGCCCTTGGAGGCAAGGAGAGCGAAGTACTGTAGTTGCTATGTACCGGAAGGCCCTGGAGCTAGTACTGCATGAACACTTCTCTGTTTTTGTCATAGGAGAAGCCTACTTCAAACTCGCAAATGCACTTGAAGAGGTTGGCGACAAAGAGGACGAAGCTCTCGAATCGTATCAGAAGACGGTTGAGGTGATATTGAAGTATGAGGAAGAGCCCAGAAGCCGTCTTACGTAATTTTGTGGGGGTTTGGAGCAATTCAAGGTGGAATCGACTGAAGCTATACGACGTTTTGAAGAAGCCAGAAATGACATGTCGGAAACAGTGAGACGAAATGTTCCAAACGCTGGAGATGGTTTTGAAATGACATCGGAGGACGTGCAAGAGAAATTTTCAACTTAAAAACCGACTAAGATAGCTTCAGTTTTTGTCACCCCAATGATGCGTTGCCTCACGCATACATACCGGTACCTGCGGTACTGGATGACAAAGGACCAATACAAATAGAAGGATTAATACAAGTACCCCACCGCATTCCAATACACACCAACAATGAATGTGACATCCTCTTTAGTTCCCATTCGCGTTGACGTTTCATCTGATGACAAGACATTACGGTTGGTGGAAACCATGTTGTTTGACCCCACCTGTTGGCCCATTCCACTTTCGGTGCCCTTGTCGTTGAGCGTGGAAGACAATGTCCAACTATTTGCGAATATGATATTGAGTGATTGTGAAACCAATGGTATGGGACGGACCATTCGGCATTTTACGGGCCGACTCGAATTGTGGACCGAGTCACTACAAGCCAAGCTGGAACACCAACTCCGGCAACAACTCTGGCGAGTTGTCGATGGCTATGTCCCCAAGGTGACTACAACCAGAGCCATTTCCATTCGTCTCGTCTTGCATGGAATCACCATTGAGGAGGATTTCTTGTGGGACCCCCAAGTTCCATTGAGCGTCTTGGATTTCAGCGAGGACATGGCCAAGGAATTGAAGTTGCCTGACGAAGCCGTCGTCTCGATTGCTACCGTGATTCTAGAACAAATTCATGGATTGGCCATGGACACCTCCGCGGATCGATCCATGGTGACACCGCCTCGTAAGGGAGCCTGGTTGATGGAGACCAAGGATTATATTTCGACCATTGCGCACATTGTTGGACAGCATCGGCCCAAAAGTCATTGATTCATGAGTTTGCTTCTTGGATCAGTTTTGAAGCGATCTATGATGCGCTCAATGAGAATGATCTCTATCACTTTTTAGTCGCGTTCAAGTTGCCCTGTGGCATTGCTCTAGTAGAGTTTATGAGCCATCCAATATGGCAACGATCTTGGGAGTGACAAGAAAATCATGTGCAAACGACGGATGCACTCACTCACTCGCACATGGAAATACAGGACACAGAGCTTCATTTTTGCGCTTTAAAAAAAAGAGTCCGGATGAAAGAAATGTCGTTTTTTGGAAATTGAATTGAGAGTAATGGCTACTGTAGGTTGGAAGTAAGGGAACCATCTACCGAACTCTAGCTCTTAATTTATTCTAATAAAATCATATCCCCAATATGTTACCTTTTATGACAATAGTTATATTATCAAACGTATGGGAAGCGCTATCCTGTCGACAAGGTTTTGGACGAGAATGAGAAAGGGAAAGTCGAAGAGGACTGTTTGGTAGGTAAGGACACTGATGAGGGAAAGACCAACATCATTTGCTCCACCTTTGCTTCGGCGCCCCATTCTTGGTAAAACCGAATGGACTCACTTCGCTGGTAATCGGCTTCCTCTTATCGGTTTAGGGAATGTAAAAATTCGGAGTGACGTTCGGCAAACAAGGCAGCATCGTGCAAAAGACCGGAACGTCCGGCCATAACAAAAGCATCGTGATAATATTGAAACAGTGTTATAGTTAACAGTCTATGATTCCCTTCTTGTAGTAGCGATTGTTCCCTTTCGTCGTCTGGTATTCTTTGATGTGTATACATACAGTCCTATTGTTTGATTTCCTCCAATGCATTCCTTCAGTATATATAGTGGTAGTTTAGGCAATGGTGAGAAAGTACTCGAGCAAGCTATCCGCTTCCGCCGCCTCTCGGAGCTTCTTGAGGCATGTCTTGTTAATGTTTTGGGCATAGGTTTGACTAATGCCCATGGCTTCAGCACATTCCCGGAGGGTTCGTGCATGGCCACCCGCCAGTCCGTAGCGAAGACGTAACAATCGTGCCTCCCGGGCATTCAAGTTGGCCGCCATGGCAGCGACGACATCGGCCTGAAACTGGGTGCGTTCCGCCAAATCCGCATCGGCACGAAAGTTCTTGTCGTTTTCGAGTCTATTGTAAGTACTAGACTCGACACCACTGCGACTTTGGCTGGTGGTTTGGTAGTCCAGACTCAAGACTTGTTGAGCCGACTTGAATCGTCGATTGGTTTCCACAACCTCGGAAATGGACATGCCCAAGTGATTTGCAACTTCTTCAATGGTAGGCTCTGCATCATTGAGAGCAGTCAATTCTTCTTGGGCCTTGCGAATCTTGTTGAACTTGGCTCGCTCTCGCAATGGAACCGTGATTTGTTCTTGAATGTGCGAGTTGCTCAAGGCACCCTTGATCCAAATGGTGGCGTAGGTGGAAAACCGAAGACCACGTTCGGGATCAAAGAGTTCGGCCGCACGAATCAAACCCAAACTTCCTTCTTGAATGAATTCATCATAAGTCAATCCAGCTTGCTGTTTGAGGGATTGGTACTGAGGCCTGATGACCGCATGGACCAAACCAATGTTGGCCGAGACCAACAATTGCTTGGCGCGACGGTAGTTGGCAACTTCCATTCGTAAGGCTTTGGCCGATGAAAGTCCCGCGGCTTTGCTCCACTCAGCCTTGGTGGGTTTGCGATCGTGCTCTTCTTCAAATGCTGCACGGATCTTATGCAATTTCACACCCTTTTGAATCATTTTTCCTAATTCTTTCTCTTCTTCAGGTGTCACCTTGGCAAGGCTGTACTTCAAACCCGCTTGCGCATAGAAGTTCCTGTTGGACTTCGGTTGTTCGGACTGCTGCTGCTCCTCTTGTCGGTTGTTGTTGTTGTTCAATGCCTTAACGGCGGGTCCTGGCAATTGTTCGGGAATGCTAGACATGGCAACCTTTTCCATAAAAGTTGCATCTTTCATGTGAGCGTCCAGAAATCGTTCTGGGTATTTGGACGCTTGGTCAATTTGAGTTTGCAACACCTCATCCAAAATCTCGGAACTGACCGAGTTTTGAAGCTCTTGAAAGGCATTCACTTCAAAGCCCAGATCATCGTCCGATTCAAAGTAGGTTTCTTCCAGGCGAGATCGTTCGGAAGACTTTGGCAGAATGTCAGAAACGGTTCGTGGCAACGGAGCCAGTTTCTTTTCTCGAGTGGTTGTGGGAGTGAGCATGGCATTGCAGTTGGTGGACAAGAGAGCAACGCTGGTTAGAGAAGCAACCCGAATGCAACGCTTCATTGTGTAATGTGGTTTGGTGTGGTTTGATGTGGTTTGGTGTAATGTAAGGCTTTGGAGGTGTCGTTGTTTGTGGACTGTTGCTGTTGTCTGAAATCAACAAATTTATGACTTTGACAGTTTTGCTATTGCAGTCTGCGCAAATGCTGACTACCAAGAATGCTATCGTCAGTCATGTCAAGTGGGGAAAAAAGACTTCGAACAGACTCCATGCCAATAGCACAGCAGATTTTCGAAGGTCCTTTTTTTGCGTTTATGCGGTCAGAGTGTCTGCTCGATTTTGATTGGTCTAAAATTCTGACTCACCCCACATTCTTCGGACTTTCTTCGTCACTCCAACTGTTTTGCTGACGTGGTTTTTGCCTCTGGCAAAAGCGCTGTTTCGACGACAGACTGACTGACCGCCCGCAGCAGAAAGCAGGGACTCCTCACTTGTCAGTTGCAACTTCCAGAACCAATTCTATTACTACTTCATTCAGTGCCTATTACTACTACGTTGCTCAATGCCATAAAGGTAGAGCATGCAAATATTGTACAGTAGCTGTTTCCTAAAAAGTATTCTATCATCATTCCTATTTCCATCGCTATAATATAAGTATATCCATCTTGGATTGACGAAAACTAAATCGCTGTCGCTGGTCCAACTCTTCACCTCCACCACCCGTCTGTTCAATGACATCATTCAGCAAATTCGCATCGACTCCCAAACTTCCATCCACTTCTCTGTACAGTATATTGCAAAATCGGTAGCCCACCACGACATTTGTAAAATCGTAAATCTTTTGGGCGTATACCGTATTGGCATCGGCATTACTCGTGCCACTCAAGGATACGAGAATGGAATCAAATTTGACACAGGCCCGGACGGCCAACGCATTGTTCAATTCGGCAGGCCATCGACCACCATTGAGCCGTATCAATTCTTTGGCGTCATTGATCAACAAAGGTGACTCTTGATCGAGAATGTGACGGGCCACCCAGACTCGTTTGAAAAAGGGATGATCTTGGGATTCGACATAGAGTTTGGCAAATTCCCGTCTGTTGGCCGCCTTGGGGTCATTCTTGTCTTCGTTTCCGCCGGATTTATCAGCTCCGATTAAAATCTTCCGTATCGTTTGCCTCGATTTCCTCAACTCGGCTTCACTGGGACGGTTTTCAAAGTCGTCCACGCTTCCTCGGCTTCCACCATTCCCACCGCCAGTCTTGCGGCCCTTGCCCTTTTTCCCCTTTTTCTTTTTCCGGGCACCACCCGCATTCATGTCTGGCACTTGGGATGGGTTCACACTCGCCACCATATTCAAGGATGCATCAATGATTTCTCCCTTTCTTTGGGATGCCAATTTGTTGATTAATCGAAACTCCAGTATAGGACATGGATAGGTGCTGTTATGGTCATGTGGTGACAGCAAATCTTGTTCCTCCTCTGACTCTGACGAATCTTCCTCATTCGGATTGTGTCCCTTGACTCCTTCTCCAAATCGAATCAGGACCGGGTCGGAAAAGGTAACCTGCGCCGAAGAAGAAACCCGGGTCACTTTGGATAGAAAAATGGCGCCCCAAAAGGAGGCAAACAAAATGCCCACAAAGGCTTCCACCGTCGCTAGTATTGTGACTGCCCAACAGTGATTGACATTTTCTGCAGTTGCCGTGGTCCCTGGAAATACAGCCCCGTATCCCTGGAATTGATAAAAAGAAAGAAAGAAAGAACAAGTGGGGTGAGCAATCAATCCAGCAATCAATCCAGCAATCAATCAATCAATAGTTAGAAAAAAGAGCATAGTACTTACCACAGTAGTAAAGGTAGTCCAGCTCAACGAGTAGGCATCCATGAATTGTCCATCGAAATCTTTCCCCGCCACAAAGAGACACTTGGGCGCCCGATGTGCCAAAAAGTAAATGACAGCCCCAAAGGCAAAGGTAATGACCCCGAACCAAAGAGCTGCAGACATAAGAACCGCAATAAAAGAACTTCGAAAGGCCCAGAAAAGATAGGAAGTCACCATCTTTTCTGGACTGACCAATCCTAGTAGTTTGTTCCGGTCACTCCGGTCATTGGCAATTCCTTTCAATCCCTTGCCAAAAGATTCATCAATGGAGAATATTTGATATTGTGTGTCATCGCCCTGTGGAACGGACACCGTCCGGCGAGAAATGATATTGCCATCCCGATACTTTTGGCGCTTTGTCCTGCCTCGGTGATGCCCCGACGAGACAGTTTTCTTGGGCCGAAAGGGTTTCGTAAGGAACTTGATAATCTTTCGGTATCCCCGCCTCCTCCGACTTTGGGGTGTCCGTTCGTAATCTTCTCGAATAATGGCACATTGCGACCGTGAGCCTCCTTCCTTCCCCGTTTCCAAATCAATAGTGTTGGATCGTTTGGCAGTTTCCATAATCTCTTGGACCGATTTCATTTTCTTCATGGCTTGCAGCTTTTGGTTCCGCTGACGCAATTCGCCGCTCACGGATTTGGAAGACAGGGTCCGTCCCACTTCGGCCAGCGGCACCACTTGGTCTTTCGATTCTTGCTCTTCCATATATTCCGTAGTATTCGAGTTTCGATCGCTCATTTTCTTAATGTATGCGTGATTGTAGGTAGATATAGAGTTGAGGGCATTGATTTGATTGCTCGTGTTGTTGGTAGGAGTTACATTGTTGGCATTTGCCGTAATGGCCGAATCCCCTCCATCGGTCCTTGTGGATTGATCTACTCCGTCTTCGCTTCTCCTGGACCATTCAAACCCCAAGCTAGAGAATTCAGAATCATGTCTGCTATACGTGTTGACACCGGGAGGCTGAGTGTGGCTCGGAAGAGAACCGTAAGAGTCCAAGGTACTGTTATCAAAACTCTCATTGCTGTGGTTGCTCTGGTTGATGTAATTATTGTGGTTTTGATTATGATTCGACATGAGGCTTTAACAGCGAAGAGAGGCTCTCTCTTCAACTGCAATAATGATTATAATGTTGTCGTTGTTACCGTTTTGCAGTTGTTGGCTCTTCTATTGCAATAATCGTGTGCAATAACTATTAATACTACTACGACACTAAAAGAGAAGAGATACACACAAACGCACACCACTGGAAACGGAAGAAATTGGAGCCAGAATCTCCTACGGCAACGCGCGCATGAATATTTTTGGTCATTCGGAGCCAACAGGGGGACGAAAATCCATAAGTAACTTCGATAGTGCGGGCGCCGGCTTTAAATCGGAAGATGGATGACGATAATGATTGATTGATTCATTCGACTCGAATTCTTTTGTTTCGCTTTTTTGATTTGATGATCGGAAGTTACTATATTCCCCCTTTTCTATCCCCTGATAATGACAGCAACCCGCCAACCAAAACAACAACAGCACACTCACCTCTGTATGTGTCACCACCCATCACGCAACAAGCACGTCTAAAGGTGGTGACAAGCGACGCATTGCCCACGGTATTGATTCTATTGCATTCTGTATTGAATAAAGGAGCAACTAATTAATCATTCATCACATGGCGTCCAGCAATACCATGAATGGCGTAGCGGCCCTCAATGTGTACAAAAAGGTGGCCGTGATCCGAAAGTCGACTGACGTCTTGACGTATGAAGATGGGGAGGGCAATACGAAATCCATTTCGGATCTGCACTTGGCGGCAGGCGCATCGGTGAGTGTCAATGGAATCATTTTTTGTTGCGTCTATCGGAATGTACCATGACATGATTGTTTCATGATGCATGCATCCATCCATCCATCCATCCATCCATCCATCTCATCACGTTGTTCCATGCGCTTTTTTCAACTTGCATACTGTACATAGACGCCTCATCTAAAAGTCAAAAAGCAAAAAGGCGACATTCCCGTTCCCAAAATCAAAGATGTCAAGTCGTACAAGACGGATATTAGCGCCACCTACAAAGCTCCCTTGTCCTTTGTGCGATATCAAAAGCCATCGGCGCAAGAACTATTTGAAAAAACGGAATATGTCATGGATGCCGAAGATGAAGTATGGCTCATCAACAATGCCAAGTTTGGGGGATCCATTCCAGAACCAGTACCACCAGCAGTCGTTGTAGAGGAAGTAGAAGCAAAGGTGATACCGGAAGTAAAAGCAGCAGTAGAGGAGGCAATGAAAGTCGACAATGATACTGCTACGAATGATGCTACCAATGATACTACGTCCAAAGCCCAAAATAGTGCCCAAAATAGTGAGGAAAGTGAATCCCGCAAACGAAGCTTGGAGCAACGAGAGCAAACACAGACGCAACAAGCGCCGCAATCAGAACAACAACAAAAACAGCCCGAACACAAGAAAACGATGGAACTACCGCTATTCATGTTTGAGATTATGATTGATGTCATGGAAAAGGCCACTGCCTTTGATACCATCATTCGCAAGGATCATGCGGAAAAACTTATTCTGGAACGATTGCCCAAACTATATCATATGTATCCCGTAAAAGCTACTGCCGGAGTCGTCAAAATCAAAGATGTCGTCCAAGATGTTTACAATTATTGGGTCTCGAAACGGTCCAAACTCAAACGACCCTTGTTAAGAAGATTCTGGCCCGTGACTTCGTCAGATGATACGAATCCTCATTTGGTATTTCGACCCCGAGAAAAGGAAAAGTACAAGCTGCGGAAAAAGAGACAAAATGATATGGATACCTATCGCAAAATGCAACTCTTGAAACAAGATTTTGAACATTTGCGAGAGCTGGTGCAACTCGTCAAGAAGCGAGAAGAACTCAATCAATCCTTTATTTTGCTCCAACGAGAATGGTTTCGGCAAAAGATATACGATTACGTCGACACGAGTGGAGCACCCCGGGTATCGGATACCTTGAGCAAGAAAGAGTTGGACGAATTGCTCAAGTTGGAATTACCGTATGATTTGAACGGTGGTCGGCGGGTCCGACGGACATCCACCACAATGAGTGGATCCAACGGGACGACAACTTCCGCGAATGGTCTCTTTTTGCAAGGCACTGGTACCAATGCAATTCCCAAAATCATTGCGGGACAGAACCATGGAGAACCAGCGCCCAACTTTTTGCAACCCCTCGAAACACGGGAACAATATGTCATGGACTGGGACTATTCCGTTCCGCATGTCACTGCCTATGTCGATTCCCTTCCAGAACCCACCTTTCGGTATCGTCACCGACCGCGGATGGGACGAGGTGGACGTATCATGATTGACCGTCTTCCATTGCCTCCCAATCCAAATGCTACCACCTTTTTGCGGGCGTGCGGGCAACCGACCGCTTCCCAATTGGAAAAGCGAGGACCTGTGGACATTATGCCGCCACCATTGGATTATGACGCATTGCGGAAAAAGGTGGATACCATTGCCATGACGGCGCTGCAAGAAGAGTACGATACGTTGACAAGCCCACGACCAGCAGGAAAAGGAGGAGCGACACCCATGGTGGATGAAGAAAATGATGGCACTACTGTTGTGGTCAGTATGAAAGACTGGCTGAGTACCGATGAACAGCTGTGGGGAGAAGAACGATATGCACTAGGTCCAATATGATAAGGTATGATAATGCTACTAGAACATTCTTTTTTTTCCAATAGGTACTGTACCGGTACCGATAATACCAGCCATGGAACATGATGAAGAAAGGAAACAGAGATTTGGTTTTCATGAAGTTAACATTAATTATTTTTATTTTTTGTACACTAGTGGAATTCTAACGCCATCTATGGTTCAATGAATATTGGTAAACATGCACGTGTGTGTGGATACTCGGTAGCATATAACATAGCGTTGCAGCTTTGGCAACGCCCTGAGGAGGTACAGTTTCTAGGATACACTCAAGAGAGGTAGTAGTCGCATTTTTACAACACCCAACACCGCGTACCGAATAGGGGCATTAGATGCTTGGATAAGCTCCATGCCCCATGTGCGGAGCGTGTTGGTAGTAGCCCGGATCGGGAGTTCCGATCTCGTAGTAAGGTTGTCGCTGGTCGAACTGGTGGGCGCCCATGTTCATAGCGATTGGGTTTGCAGCATAATGCTGCTGGTAATGCTGGCCCATGTGTGGTGGTGGTTGTTGCCCATACATTGGTGCCATCATCTGATGGGGGTGCTGGTGGCGGTGATGTCCCTTGTTCTGAGAGTAGATCTCATCACCGGTCCCAGCTGGGTCCAAGGTAAAGTTGGGGAACCGACGACAAATCTTGGCCATGATTCGTCTTCCGCCGGCAGTGTTTCGAACTCCGCCGTTGCGTTGTCCATTGGGAGTGCCAGGGACAGTTGCGAGAAGGTGTGGTCGCATGGACTCCACCAATCGAACAGCTTGCGCGTGGGTGGCAACTGACAAAGCTCTTTGGACCACGTAGTTGCCAAAGGGATCCATCATTAGTTCGCGCACTCTTTCGCTGTCGCTCAATTCCTCCATGTAATGTTCCTTTACGCGATCGGTACAGCGTTCAAGGCATTTCTCCATCACATTGGAACTGAACTTTTGAATGGCAAGAAGATTGACCTTTCCAATAACGCTCTCGCAAACTGCATGAACATCGTCATCCGAGCAGACATCCAGGACGTATTGGACAACATAGTTGCCGTATGCATCTTGCATGAGCTCCAAGGCCTTGTCCACGATGCGGTTCACAAGATGAGAGCGGGAAGCACCTGGTGGGGAGTCGAGGCAACGCTGAATGACACAGCAGCCGTGTCTATGGCGAGCAACGTCTCCCACACTTTCAGCAACAGCATCAAAGACAAACTTGGCATGGTTGTGTCCAAGCTTGAGGAGGATCCGCTGAATGACATGGTTTCCGTGACTGTCAATGCACAGACGAGCAGCAGCCGGTGCCAAGGATCGGGTCAAAATGTCAGCTGCCGAATCTTCCTTTTCGCCTTCCTTCGGTGGTGTGGCCTTTTCTTCATCAATGGCGCAAAGTTCCACAATCTTTTGGACAGACCGCGTGCCATGAAGATTCAAACTGGCGTTCACCAAGCGAGTGCTGACGCTCTTGACGAGCATGATGCGCTCTTCCGAGGTAATCTTCTCGAGGATCTTTTGAAAGAGGTAGTTTCCAAAGGGGTCCACCATGGCCTCGCCCCAAAAGGGGAGTCCTTCGTTCAAGATCAAAGTGGCAGCCATAGGACCTTCTTCGTCCAGAGCTTGTTGCACAAGACGGCAACCAACTTGGTCACGAGAGAGACGTCGGACTTGACCGAGCAACGAGTCAAGGGAAGGACGTTGAGGAGTCGAGTAGAGAGAGGACGTAGTATCGGGTTGTTGGTTGGAAGCAGGAGCGTACTGGTGGCTGTTGGCAAGTGTGTTGAGGTCGTTGTTTCCCCGATCGCTGCCATATTGCTTGTCACTAGCACCATTGTAACCCTTGTTTCCTGAGTTCATTCCATTGTTGACGCTGTTGTTGATGGAATTCAAATCTCCATTCTGGCCTCCAGGTGGCACCATCATTTGAGGAACCATCATCATTGGAGCACCTTGGGCATCCATCATTGGAGCCTGACCAGGAGCCATGCCGCCTTGAACAGGAGGCATTCCACCTTGTCCAGGAACCACCTGATAGAATGGTTTGCCAGGAAGTTGGACCATCTGAACAGGTTGAAGAACCTGACCACGTCCATCGGGTGTAGGAACAGCCATGTACAATACTTGTCCTTGCGCAGGGTTCGCCGACCCTTGCTGAACAGAAGGAGATGCCTTTGGCTGGGAATCATATGGGCTGTTCGCAAAGCCACCGTTGTTGTTTCCCATATTATTATTGTAGGGTGATTGGATGGATTGGTGGTATCCAGACTTTTCCTCGCCTTGATGATAGGCTTGGATAGTTCTGGAACCGTCTCCATTTGTATAAGGAGACCCAGATCTACTGGAGCCCGAAGGGGACCCATTCCCCCGTCTGACGTCCTGATAGGCTGGAACTCTTCCCGGAGCAGAGCCAACACCCTGATTCCGAAAGGGGTTTTGCTGATCATTTCCATTCTCATTCATTTGGATACCAGTGCTGAGTTTGAAAACATCATTCCCAAGAAAATGTGAAGGACTTTGATCTAAAAAGAGGTCCAAACCACTTTTTTCTTCAGCAGCTTTTGGTGTAGTCGCTGCTGCATTCATGTTTTGATTGGATGTATCATGTTCATAAGAAGATCCCCAATCACCACCAGTAGCTCGGAACGGATCGCCCGCTTCTGGCTGACTGGGAAACGAAAAGCCACCGTTTGACACGGCACCAGACCCTAGATTTACCCCGGCAAGGGCTTCGCCGAGAGAACCAATCATTTCATCCTTAGATTGCGACTTCGGTGTCGACTGAGGTTTGTCAACCGAGCTCATAGTTGATATGATCGGTTAATAGGAAAACCAGCTGCAAATACTCCAAGGAATGTATTCTTTTTAATGCATCAGGTAGTCTAATAAAGTAGTGTACAGGACTCGTGAGCAATAAGACAAAACCGAACAATGCCCTGGATTCAAAACTCGTGGTCGATCGATCGTAAGTGGCCTCAAATACTCGTTTCGTACGAGAGCAACCTGACTGACCGGGAAACAACGGATGGGACAAACCCAAGGCCGAGACTAGTCCGAGAACTAGCGAGCGCGGTATGCGCAATGACATAAAGAAAAAATTAGCTGTACGCAGAACTTCGTACGAGGTCGCTTCGGCGTCAATATCCAGCATCCACGTAAGCAAGGCGGAAGTCGTAGGTACTGTAGGATGTGGTACTTGTGCCTCCGCTTCCAGAAATTGGTGGCTGCATAAAAGCGTTTGTTTTCGACCGTTAGTGCCTCTAAATAAATCGAAAAGGCGCAATCAAAAGTGACATGAATGATTTGAACCTGATTATGTCCATGTGAGACTGACGTCATGATTGAATGGAAAAAGTGTGAATATCATTGAGGGGACAAAGAGAAGGGGGTGACTTTTGAAGGAGGGATGTTCGAACCCGCCTTGCGTTCATACATTATTCATGGATGAATATTGTAACTTTTAGCATGGTACTGCATTTCGTAGAAATCAACGTACAACCATCGTTGTTAAATGTGTTCACGCGGGGCGTGTTTGAGTTTCCAACGGGCAAATTGAAAGTCTATCACCTTTGTTTGTTCTTCAATCAACGAGACAAGCAAACACACCAACAACAACATAGCCAGCGATTCGATAGGGCAGCGTCACTACCATAGACATTCCAGCATATCACTTACTGTTGGTTTGGTTTGGTCATATAATTCTCTACTTCCGTACTAGTTGCCAATTGGATCATGGTACGTCAAAGTGAAGTTGGTGTTCGTTGAACAATTGTTATTGAAACCGCTGATTGTCTCACAAAAATTGTTTCTTCCATGCAGTCCGTTTCTGGTCTTTCGACAGCGAATCGCAAGCAGAAAGCTTCAAGAGTCTTCGGAAACTTTGTCTTTGAGGAACAAGAAACCAGCTTGTGCTATTCCACCGATTCTAGTTTTCGCAGTCCTTCCAAGGAGAACCAACACCAACAACATGAAGTCATGCCCAGTCCAGATCCCTCCTCACTATTGAGTAGTAAAGGAGGTTATGAAGAGAAGCATGTTTCATTTGTGGAGGACGAAGAAGACAAGGAGAATGCTTCTGCTAACAATAATAATACACAAATCCCCGAATCACCCGACATGATCGTGAGAAAGTCGTCGATTTCTTCCTTTCGAAGCGCCGAGTTGAGCAGACTTCGACAATCCCTACAGTCTCCTCAGCGTAAGGACCTTGTGAGCATGACGCAAAGAGCGATCAACAATGCAGCTGGTGTATTTGAAGCCTTGAACCACCACACGCCACAAAAAAAACTTGGCCCCTCTACCAACCCTTCCTTAAATGCTGCTCGAAGGGCCAAGGAGGAAAACCTGAAACATGTTTCTAATCGCACCAAACAAGTTCGATTCCAATGGCAGACACAAAAGGCGGAGACCAAGAATTTCAATCAACGCCTAGAAGAGCAACGTCGACAAATCATGGCCATTACACGAACCGTTTCCTCTGCGCACTTTCAGCAACAAGCAAAGCTTAGCGACGAAAAGAAGCAAACCAAGTTCTCGAAATTGGAGAAAGAGTACAAATTCAATTCTGACACTTATCGAGAACAGCAAGAGAAATTGAAGGAAGAGAAGGATAAGGCCCGCAAGATGTCTATCGATACTCGTGCCAAGCTTCGTCAAAATCATCGAAAGGGCGAAGAAAAGATGAAGCGTCAACGGGAGAGAGAACTTGCTGCAATTCATGAGATCCGATACGATATACACAAGTCCCGCAACGAAGCTACCAAAGCTAATGCTGAGGCACGCCGAAAGAGTTACCAGTTCCGTGCTGGAGATGCCCGACGCATTCGTGACCTTCGAGCCAATTGGGGCGAAGAGGAGGCGAGAAAGCAACACGAGAGCTTCTTGTTGAAAATGGAAGGTGAGCGAGATGCAGATGCCTACAGAAAGAAGATGGCAGAAGAGCGCCGTCAAAGTTTGGCTGGCCGAAACGCTGAGAGTCGCCAGCATGCCCAGGCAATGCAAGAACTTCGATCACTTGCCCAAGAAAAGGAAGCCGAATCCTTCATGTTGAAAATGGAAGGAGAACGAGACGCTAAGGAGTATTTGTTGAAAATGGAACGGGAACGAAGAGAGTCTTTGCAGCTCCGTGGACAAGAAGCCCGGCGCATCCGTCAACATGAGGAGGAAGAGCACTTCAAGGCAGTGCACAAAGGAATTGCCGAAGGTCGTTTGCAATCGGAATGTACGTACTTTGATGACTGACAAAATGAATGGTTGGAGTCAAGCAATACTGATATGATACATGCTAACCATATTTCTTCTCATTTTCTTTTTCATTTTCATTAGGTCAAAAAGATGTCGAGGCATACAAGAAGGAAATGGAGGAACGTCGTCGAAAATCCTTGCAATACCGAGGCAAGGAGAAGCAAATGCAAAAGTTGAATGCAGAAAACCAAAGATCGCAACAACAAGACCATGAACGCGAGATGTTTGAGTTGGACTCTCTTGCACGCAAGGACGTAGAAGAGTACATGAAGGATTGCAAGCGACGCAGACGGCAATCTTTGGCGTTCCGAGCCAAAGAGAAACAACGACATGCCAAATGGCAACAAAAACAAAAAGAGAAGGAATTGGATGCAAAATTGCATAATTCTCACTTGAGAGCATTAGATTCTCAATTTATGGCTCTCTCCGAACAGCAAGAGCGCGCACAAAGGGCCATGGATGCCCTTCGAACCGCAGGATGTGCCATCAAGGGCAATCCATTTGGAGATTTGATGAACCTCTGAAGTGGAGGATTTGATTTCATTTCATTGCGAAGCCAGCCAATAATATAACTCGAAAGAAATAATCTAGTTTGTAAGAATAGTATTTGAGTTTAGGATATAATCGTAGTTGCTGACGGTGAAGGTTGTCGTGCAGATCGTTGCGTGAGAGAAACAGCCTTTAGTGAAACAGCCTTTAATTTAATGCGGATCTTGGTGGCAGGTTTCGATTGGAATTTTTATTTGCGAGTACGAGTAGTTCATTAATTCCGTTTTGTTTTCTATCATTATCATTAGTACATAGTACGTAGTATTCCCTATGCTTTGCTATGCTATGCTACATTGCCATCCATCATTGCCGACGCTGTCGTTTGGGACCATTTTCGTTGGCATCTGGCGAGGCCACCCTTGATGCCTCTTCTTGAGCATTCGCCGTCAGAGATCGTCGTTTGTTGACACTGGCATTGGCGCTCACCAAACGCCGACTTCCAAAGACGGACCAGTGTTCCTTGTTGGCCACTGCGGTGGCTCCCGTATGAAAGAGTCGTTTTTCCATTTCCGTGAGCTTGGCCAAAAAGTGGGAGACGTCGTCGTCTCCCCCCGTACTCAGGGCCCAATTGAACATTTGGCGGAGTCGTTCGCCCGCAAAGGTCTTGAGCAGGGTTCGTTTTAGTAACGTAGCATCTTCGCTGACTTGTTCCAAGGCCCGGGTGTGGGCGGTGCGTCGGGCATTTTGACGCCATCGAGGGCTGGAAGCAATGGCAGTAGCGACCTTTTCGGACGAGGTTAGAATCAAATCCACTAGAACTTTGCCCGCCAAGAAAAATCGTTCATTCTTTTTCCTGTGTCATCGTAAAAGGATAATGGGGCGTGGTTAGCATTTTTAGCACCCAATTGCTTTCGTTACACAAGTCCAAGTACAACTACATGATGCTTACCTCAAATCAGCATCTCCTGGATCCGCTTCCAATCGTTCTCGTGCCTTGCGTCCATAATGCCGTGGCAATTGCAATCGTACAAATCCCAAATTGGCCCACTTTTCCAAGGCCCACAAAGGGAGCTTGATGCGCGAGTTTTCTTCCAAATAGTTTTTAGCTCTAGACTTCTTGGAGGAGGAGGAGCGTCCTCCACCAATGCTGGCATCGGGATCCAAATGTTTCAAGTGTGAAAATTCAAACAAGGTGGTGCAGGGAATCAATTCTTCTTCGGCCAAGATGGCGTCAACATCGAAATAAGAGGTGGGCATTGTATGGGTTGTGCTTGTGGTTTGTTGTGGTTGTTGCTGTAGTATACTGTTGCAGTGACGTATGGTGTTACTAGTCGGCTGAGAATGGATTGGATTGGATTGGATTGGATGAATGGATTGGATCGATGCTTCGAACAGTGTTGTTCCAATGCAAAATTCAAAATGATGCAACGTCTCCAACAATAGTTGTTGCAGATTTTCCACTTTGCGCCATCCAATTTTGCGTACAATGTCTACCGGTAGTTATGTAGAATTCCACGTAGGCACGAGGAAAATATAGAAAGGGAGAAAGAGAAAGCAGTTGACAAACATTCAACATGCAATCAAATCAAATAAATCATCAACCCATTCTCGGAAGTCAACCACCATTCTTATATTATTAGCTGTATTAGTCCGACCAGCCGTCTAGTCCAAAGGCTTATTTCGTGGGAATGTGGGAAGATGGGAGTATGTAGAGTAGACGAAATCCTTTTTGGTCGATCCGAAACGCTGTCATCCATGCGTCTAGAATATCACAACGCATACAGTAGTACCTGGTACGGTACCATACGGTATTGGTGTCGTTTGCGTTTTATAAAAAAGTGCGATAGACAATTATTAGACAATGAGCACCACAACCAACAGTGGTGTTGAATTCGTAACGCCACTACCAAAAACCGAACTGAATGAAGCAACTGCAGCCATGTTTCATGAGCTAATTGCTGCAGCCTCTCAGATTCCAGGGCATGCCAATAATAACACGGAAGAAGAGGTCCAGCGAGCGTGTGAAGAATTCAATGTCAGACTGATTCAAGCCCTGACAGAGAATCCAGTGCTGGCAAGGGTGGTTGGCAGCAGTGACTCGTTGTTGTTTATTATGGCATGTGAGAAGTTGCACCGAGAATGGTCGCATCCTGCCATTCAGTTTCTCATTGAGAAAAATCCTTCGGCTCTTGTGTGGAGACGTACTATGGGTTGCGGCATTGAAGATATCACCCCCCCTTCATATCATTGCGGGGCACGATTGTCATTATCAACTAATGTGTTGGATTGCCGAGACCCATCCTTGGGTGTTGGATCATACCACTACTGCTGTGGCAAACCGGCGCCCTCCTGTCTTTGATTTTCTTGGACAATATACTGCGGCCAATTCCAACTGTTCGGCATCCACCGTGCGTCGTTTTTTCCAAGCCTACCCCAAAGGTCTTGCTCAAAAGAACAGCCCCCGCTACCACGGATATACTGCGTTAGCTTCCATCCTCGGGGGCGCCACGGAATGCAATGCCGATCTCTTTCGGTGGATGGCGGAGCAACATCCACGGGGCATGACATACAAGACTATGGGCTATTCGGTTCTGGGCCTCGTTTGTGCCGGTTTGCAAGAGTTTTCACACTACGGCAATGATTCCGTCGAAATCATCCAATACTTGATCCAAACATGCCCCAAACTCGTCAGCCAAAAATCATTGCATCAGGGGAATCTGCCCATCCATGCCCTGGTCAAGAAATGCAATCGCCTCGAGGTTCAAAATGCAGTCATTCTCTTGTTGAAGGCTTTTCCAGAGTCTTATAACATGCCCTCGGAATTGAATGGAAAAGCTCCCAGCGAATATCCTTTCATTGAACAAATCATGCCATTGATTGCCAAGGAGATGGAACTCACAGGATCCATCTCTCTGTTGAAAGATTTATCAATGAACTTTTACAAGGCCATTTCAGATGTCAGCAGCAGCAACAACAACAACAACAACAACAATCCTCTCCTACACAAGGTTGCCAATGTTTTGGATTCTTGGTGCAAGGATTGTGTGACCATTATCGAGGTTGACCAATTACAAGGACTACCAGCTCAAATTTTGGCCGTCCAGTACCGGTACGACTTTGTAGGTTCCGACGTGGAATCATCATCCGATGAGGAGGAGCAAGCAATTTTTTGATGATGATGATGATGAGGATTATCCGTCGTTTCATATTGGTCAGCACCGACCTGGTGAAAGCGACTGCAGCTGTGGTGGTTGCCAAAGCGAAAACAAACATGGCCATGGTGACTACTGAATTGAATGAATATTATTATTATTATTATTATTATTGAACATCCTACAAATCAATCCAGGTATAATTTATAAATTCAATTGTATTAATATTAGAAATTTTAATGCGACTGGAGCACTAGCTAGTTCCTTTATACCACCACCCTCGAACTTCCTCGACTGTAACAGTGCTTTCTTTTACCAATGTGTTGATTTTCCATACTATACTGTACTGTACTGTAGCTTCCGTTCTAAGAACGAAAGCGTCTCCAAGAAGTGTACTCGTACCTACAATATAAAGGCATCTCCCATCATTCTGCACTTTCCAAACTCCATGACGACCATAGTACATCATCCAAAATACTGCAATGTTAACTTTTGCATTTTATGATGTTACAAATATAATAAATTAATACCCAACATAGTAGAGATTGATTGATTGATTGATTGATTGATTGATTGACTGACTGCCTCTTTATGACTCTTGATTTTCCGCCCACTTGTTTTCCTCTCGTACTTGTGCTTCTTCTTCCGGAGTAAACTCGTTGCTAATGTTGAACATTGCTCGGAGTTCGCTGGCTTGTTTCCCCTTGATCAAGACTGCCACGGCCAGACAAGTCAAGTCCAGCAATGGCTTGATATCCATAAAATTGGCCGCAGTCACCAACTCAAACAATAAATTTTGTTCGACTTGCACAAAATTCGAGTACCATGGTTGGACCATATCTTCTATCTTGTTGGATTTCAATGGTGTTTGAATGGCCGTCATGGGTTCCTTGTTGTAGTGTGTACAGTAGTCAATGACCTTTTGCAAGACGGCGTCCTTCACATTGGGCAAAGGAATCTCACGGACTTCGTCGTCGTCTTCATCGTCGTCATCGTCAATGCTGGTGGCAACCAATGTCGACATTTTGGCTACCGAAATGGGGACTTCATGGACGTCTCCTTCCTTGCTTACCTGGTTTTTTTTTGGCGTATATATGTGTGGGTGTGTGTTTTTTTATATATTCAAATTGTAAAAGCGAAATTGATGCGTTGGTAGTTGGTGTCATTCAATGAGAATTGTCCGTGTGAGACGTGTGAGTTCATTGTTGCCAAGCAGAAAAGTGTGCAATAGGGGGGAAGAAAGAAAGAAAACAAAGAATGAGTCTCATTCTCCACACAATACAAACATGCGCAAGGGAATTTAATGATATGTCTTCTCGACTGCAAACGCCATCTAGCTAGGTGGACAACAACAAGCAAAGT